TGGGCAGTGAGAAGATTCACCAGAGACAGATTGGGGAGCAGAACAGGTAGATCCACTGAAATAGACTGCTGTGGGAGCAGCAGGCAGACAGGAGTGGTCTTTGCAATGAACAGGTTTATTTTTACATATGATTATGGCTAAGATCTATAATGCCATAATGTTTCTCTAGGGTGTGGCATCTTAACCAAACTTGTGCCCACAAAAACCCAGTCATTTGAATTATAGTTCTCTTTACTTTCCTTTTGTTTTGCTAATAAATAATCAAATCTATCCTTGAAATCTGACAATGAAAATAGGAAAGATTTAGGGTGATATTTGAAGAATAAATTTTTTTCAAGGTATTTTTTGAGGCTTTATCTAAAAGCTTTTTACTGGTATATTCCAGACCATTTTTCAATATTATGGTCTGTCTTTATTTTTCTTTGCCATACCTCAGGTATATTTTTGAAATTATATCCTTGGTCTGTCTTTCTTTTTCTTTTAAATCACTAAAAGGCCATATCTAAAGCAGATTATCAAGTAATATGTTAACTGAACCCAACTTTGGTTTCCTCTGCTTTCTAGTAGGCAATCAATTGTATTATCAAAGAAAAGTTCCCTGTATTTTAATTTCTGGCTATAAATTTTTACTTTTTATTTTTACTTTTTAAAAACTCATACAATTTATAACAGCTGTCATTTTCATGTATATTTATCTATATTTATAAACTCCCTCTAAATAAATTTTCTTTGGCTTATAATTCACTATTTTAATAGCTTATTAGTAAGGTATTAGCAGTGTTTGATATTTTTAGTCCTTTGGCCTTATAAGTTCCTAAATACCTTTGAATACTCCTGGGGAGCACTCCTATTTTTCATGGAGACTTAAAAATGGCCAAGTTATGATGTAAAATTTCTAGAACTCTACCTCAGCACATGATTTCATGATTCCCTGCTTTCTAATTTATCTCTGTACAAAATCAATCTCTTCAGAAATAATGATTTATTTGTTATATATGAACTGAGGAGCCAAAAATAGAACAATGATACCAGAGTGAGGAAACTCTGTGTGTGTGTGAGATCACCTATTTTTCAGATATGCCTTATTAAAAAAATTGATAATTCTAATTTAACATTTTATAGGGCTTTATTTTCATAAATGCTTTCCCCAGTATTTAACTAGTAGGAGGGGAATTTTAGAATTCCCTAATTTGACCCTGATACTAGTTAATTTTCTTTTTTTTAAAATCAGGCACTTCCCTCCCCTCCCCCTGTATAGTTTTTGTGGTCTAGAAGGTATTTGAACTCTTTGTAAAATTAACAGTACTTGGATCAGATTTGAGTATTAAAAACTACAGAGGAAAAAACAAGTATTAGTATACATCATGAAGCTGGACAGAAAAAGTTAATGTTTTATTTATGAAAAATTAATAACAGCAACTGCTACCTACCTAATGTGGTACTGTATTTTTTAATGGATAGTTAATTAAAATAGTCAGAAATGATTTGTTTTTAGATACAATATTTGAAGCACTCTATATACTATTACTTTTAATTTCTATTTATAAAAATGTTTATATTTGAAACAACACTTTCTGTTTTAAAAAATTGTAAATTGTAATACTCTATAACCTTACAAACTCATAAGCAAAAACAGACAAGTAGTTTGAATATTTTTAAGAAGTCAGTTAAAAGTGACTGGAATGTTATGGCATTCTATATTTACATTTAAAAAATTTTAATGCATACAAACTTTGCAAAGGATTTGCTTTGTTTTAGACTATGCCTTTCTTTTATATTGTGTTGCATAGATGGCTTTGCTAGTGACTTCATATGCTTAGTATAATTTGTGTATACATTTTAAAATTCATTTTTACTGTTATGTTTTGCTTCACCATTGCTTTCCTGATCTTGCATTTTCTGATCATCTTCTGAATCTGCATCTTTTCTCTGCTACTTTCCTCCACAGCACCTTACCCACAGGGGCCTAGGATTTACCTGTGTCCCAGTTCCCCCTCTCTCTCTTGTGGGTCCCTTCATCTTAAAAAGTCCTGTCTCCTCCTCTCGGAATCTAGCCTTACCCCTCATCATTCTAGCCTTGTCAGCCCAGTTCTGAGGAAAAGTGTTTCTTTCAGTGAAGAGCTGTTCCTGGCTGCTTCTGGTAGGATAACCTTATGTCAGCTTTTTAATCCCTTTTTTTTAAATCATCTATGAAAAAAGTAATTATTTCATACTATCAGCAGTTATTGGGTGTTTTATACAGGATGTACGTCTTGTTTTTCTTAATGGCAAAGTTAAGTGTTTATAATTGTAATAAGGACATAATTAAGGATTACTTTTGAATAATGAAGAGTATATTATTAAAATTATTTCATATATTAAACACATGTCTAAGGACATAGACCTGTATACTTTCAATTATTATTAGCTTCTTATTACTAGAGTTTCTGTTTTAGATGCTTTGCTTTCTTTCCCTACACACCAGCTGCATCACACTGGGCCTGTCCTATCAGGTTGCTACACATGTGGTTACATTAGTCATATTCTGTTTGAATCACTTTAAGTTTCATTTTGATAATCTTTCATTATCTTTTTTTTTTCTGTCCTTTGCATTAATGACCAATTATTTGGCTATATTTTCTGACATTTCATTTACTACAAAATTTTATTTTATTTTGTGGCTTTCTGTATGCTTCATCTAAAGATCTTAGTTTCATTTCAGTACTTAGTATTGTATAGTCTCTATAAGCCATGTGTAAATCATTATAAGATAAAAATTTTATTTTTAAAGAACAGAATGGGACTATACACATGCTAACCTTTGTTTCCTTATCCAAGAACAGCTAAAAATGTAAAAGTAATTTAGTTCCTTTTTATAAGTCATTCTAATAAATCTGTACTTATCTTTAGTTTTACATGGGTGAGCTTGAACCATTAGCTCTGGTCTGCAGGGCACACCAATCCCCTGCTTCCTATAATTGACTATCAAAAGAATAAAACAAGATAGGGAAAGAAATTTAAAATTAAACCTTTAAAAGTACATCTTAGAGCTTGGGAAATACTTGTTCATCCATAACCTTGTACATTTGTGATGTGTCTATTACATGTCTGTAATTTTTAGTTTTTTAAAATAATTTATGTTGATTTTTACAAGTGAGTTAAAAATATGAATATTAATACTGTTTTATCATGAATGCTATGCTTAGGAATGTGAACTTGTCAGAAAATGTCAAAATTGCCAAAAAGTTCATGTTTTTTAGAGAATTTTGGAATACTTTAGGCACAATTAAGGCTTCCTCTGTATTTTTTTGAAATAAATACTTAATATTGCTTATTTCTTTCAATATTAAATTGTCAGCATTTTTTTTACAAGATCGAACTTTTAAATTAATTGAATAGGACACAAGAAGCCATATTCCTTGCCTTAAAATAATTGAAAATAGTTTTTTAGAATAAATTAAGCATTAAACCATCAGTGATCAGTAGGGCTTTGATATCTCCTAAAAAAGTCTTTGTGAGTAAAATATGTGCTTAGTTGCCATCCTAAATAATTTAGTTGCTGTATTATTTTCATTTTGATTTATGATATGTATGAATACAATTAAACCTTCTGTATCTACAGTTGTTTTTTGGTTGTTTTTTATGTACTGATGTTCTGTAGGAATGGGAAGTGGTAGTGCTGGAAAAGAAGGGGGGCCATTCAAAGCTCTTTTAAGACAGCAGACTCAGTCAGCACTGGAACAGAGGGTAAGACTCAACCTTATTCTTACATACTGTTAATGATTTTATTATCATGTTTGTGTACTTATTATTTATTTCCATGAATTGTTTTTGATCATGTATTTTTGGAACATTGTAACATTGTATTTTTGAGTTCAGAATGTACTTGAAGTATCAAAATAATTTGCATATGAATAATTTTAGTTGGGGATTATTCTGTTAACTATTTTTGTTTTGTCCTCCAAGGTCTTATTACAAACTATTTGTAAATATGCATTGAAAAAAGAAGTCATTTTTAACTTCAGTTAGTTTTATGGTATAAAAAGAAATTAGTAGAAATTTTTACAAAAAACATTTTAGCTGCTTAAAACAAACATTTTAGCTATTTAAAAATAACACTTTAGCATATGGATATGTTTATTTGCTGAGATTTTATCATTGGCTTATCTCTGGGGTAAGAATGCAGATTCCCTATTTCTACAGATTGACAAACAGTGTAATCATTCAGTCTGTTAAGGTATCTATGTTAATATAACTGATATTTAGTTCAGTATGTTAAATGGTAAAACAAATAGTTAAAGTTTTTGGATGATTTTTCTCTTTTTATGTTTTTGTGTAAACTTCATTGCTAAGGGAGGATCGCCTCATAGGTTCTGTAGAAGGCGGGTATGTTACTGGTCATGTGTGAGAACCTATTTCCTGTATTGGTAGCTTTTCTAGTTTTCATCTTGATCATTTTAAGTTTTATTTAAGCTTTTTAACAAATATTATCATTTTTTTTTTGTTTTAAAGCTCTATGAGGCTCATGTTTCTTTTTTTCTACTTAACTAAAACAGTGCATGCTGTTATATGTCATGTCACTTATTTTAAGGCACAGTTCCATAGCTTACATTATGTCTAAGTTTAAAGTTAAAAGCATTTACACAATTTTCTTTTACATGTTTCATTTTATACTATATTAGCATTTTGCTAAAAGTGAAACAGCAATACCTATAAACGAATGCTTTTTATGAAAGCAAAGTATTTTCTAGAGGTTGGCTTTTGGTGAATACTTGTAAGCAAAGGCAATTACCTTTTTAGACTGTCTTTTTTTATGCTAAAAGTATCTTTATTCACTGCCTTTTTGACAGTGCTAGAAAAAGCAGCAGAATTAGGCAGTTTTGAGATTTTTAGTTATACCCAGTTCTTTTCATTATATCCTATCAAACAGGTTACTTTTAGCTATATCTCAGACCTCCTGGGCATACTGGCTGCTTCCACCAAAAAACCCATCTAGACATTCAAATCATTGATTGAATTCAAATACAGAGAAAGGCTGAAAATGAGAAGAGGGCAGTGTGATAGTGTTATGTGTTCACTAATTTATTTATTTTTTGGCCAGAATGCTCTTATTTCCTCTCTCCTCCCAGCTTTGTATTCTCCACCAAGTCCCTCACATTAGGATTATACTCAGTAATCTATTACCATTTTTAGAATTAACATGCCCCATAGAACTTGGAATCCTCAGATGTGATCTAATGAGATAATTCCTAATATTACGCTTGTGACTTTGCTATCTGATTAAGAACTTTTAAAAGCCTCTAGCATTAAAAAAAAAAAAAAAGCCTCTAGCATTAAAGGAAAAAATTGACAATTACTTTGAATTTAGTTTGCATAAGCATTATGTTTTCAGATATTCTTTTAAACATTCTTAAAGTTTTACATATACTTACACCTCAGTATAGATTATTAGGGATTCTTCATGGAATTCATAATAAATGAATTTACAGCTTTGTGAAACCAAATTTATCTCTATTACCACACTGTACAGGCAGATATTTGAGTTCATGAGACCATTTCTCTACTCTATGTGCACAATCAGTTGCAAAGACATTATCTCTGACTTCATTCACGTTTAACTACCGTTTGTATAAAGACTTTGTTTTGGGGAAAATTTACAGAGAAGTTTGTAGAGTTCTCCTCTTTTATTTTAGACATGCCTTAACTCTGTCAAGTTGAATCACTTTTTATAGCAGTTTTAAATACTGAAGTTTAATAGTGAAGTTTTAAAATACTAATTTCTACCTCTTGCCATCCTTAATAAATTAGATGGCTTTTTAACTTCTGTGTGGAAAAGAGAAACTTTATTTGACTAAACATCTTTTATTTTCTAGATTGTTTAAGTAACAGTTCTTTAAATTTGTTTGCATAAAATTTATGTTTTCAAATAGTCCTTTAAATGTTCTTAAAGTTTTGGATATGTTAACACATTGAGCACATGTTATTACGGAATCATAGTGAAGTGTGTTATCATGGAATTCATAGTAAAAGTGTGGAGAACTGTAATTTTTTTTACAGCTTTGTAAAAACCAAATAGCTCTTTGTGGTGAGAGTATTTTTCCCCCTCTCACAAAGAATATAAAAAATAACTTGAAAAGATCTTGGCATAATTAGGTGAGATTATTAAGACATGGGAATAGAGATAGTTTCATTTAGAGATAGGTTTCATCCAAAGCTATATGAGAGAGCAAATGGATTTTTACAGTCTATCTCTTCTACTTATAAGAAAAATGTAACTACTTTTTAGATTCTAGAATGTGTATTTTTCTTCAAGAAACATAGATATCTTAGTTTTAATCTAATATTTCCCAAAATATACGACCATGGAAGTTCCCATTTAAAATACCTACTAGTAAAGAACATGTCTTGGGAAATAGTAATATAAAGCAAACTCTTGATAAATTATCATATTTTTAGAAGTGGGGCTAAATTTGTACAGTAAATCATAGTAAGAATCTAGCATGGAGTTTTATATCTAGAAATTTTACTTTGATCTCTTGGATAATAATTTGTTTTTAAAAATTATATCTTTTAAGGAAAATTCTATTTAAATATACCATCACGTTCTCATCTGTCAATTAGTTTATCTTTGAGCATGTAATATTTATGAATAAATGTATGCACTCATGTCAAAGCATCAACATTTAAAATCTTACTAAATATTATGAAAACATACTTTAAATACAAGCACTTTTCAGAGAAAGTGTCTTCTACAGTCCCTGAAATTCCTATCAAGGCATTGAAAGGAGAGTGTAATTGACATGATATTAAGAAAACTGCCCTTCCCAATGAATAAGTACCTGTAAATTTTTTAGGTGTAATAATAGACTAGAAATCACTGTCAGCTTAACTCAGTGTTTAAATCAGAGATGACAAGAAGTTAAATCGTAAGGTTTGTTGCTCAGAAAGAGCCTAGCTATAAAAGGCCCTCTTTACCTCAATTTTTCACCTAAATCGTGAATGTAACAATATCTCCTCTTGGGGGATGAGGGAAGATTATCAAACATAGTTCTAAGGTACTTTATAAGGGCTGGCACATTTTAAGTTCCTCTGTCATTGCTGATGATACTATATGGAGATGACTTTACAGCAGTCTGAGAGAGAGCAGTAGTTCCTAGTAAGAGAGTTGTCTGAAGATATAGTTTGGTGAATACAGCATGATTTTTATTTATTCTGATTTAAATTTTGGATGTGAAAATGAGTAGATGTGCTGTTTAGATAATACTGCAACATGCAGGGCAATTGAAGTCAGCAGAGTGGGTCTCTGCCTCTTTGGAGGTTTTGCTTTTCCTCTTGTCCTCTACCCCACTGGGGGAGAGGTATAAAAGAATTGGGGGAGAAGAGTGAAAGAATCCCAAAAAGAAATCATTTAGTCCAATTTTTTATACTCATCTTAAATCTTACATGCAGATATTTTTCAATATGTGAACTTGCCTAGTACATTTCTCAGTTTTAGTGAGAAGTACCATTTTAATTTAGCTCACTAAAGATTTAATATTCACTGCCTCTGAATCAGGCATTTAAAATATTTAAGTATGAAGGTTAAATGTAAAGTTTTGTTTTTATTCTTTGGGTCTATGAAGTGCCTCTGATGTATTAAGACTTCAGTGTTCTTGAAACTGAAAAAAAATTGAAGACCTAACTTATTAGATGATACTATCCTCACTTCTAATAACATGAGCCTCCCCATACATTTCCCATTTAAAACTTATGCTAAAAAAATTGAGGTGGAAATAAGGAAGCATTTTGACTAGACATTTTATAATACATTTAAGTGACCTATCCCTCCTGTCCTCGCCCTTCTTTCTGCCTATCAGCTGGCCAACCTATCCCTGTTCATCCACTGGCTTTTTATGCTTTTTCTAATAGCCCATGGTTTTTTTGCCCTTGCTCATTGAAAAGTTATTTCAAAATTCAAACTGATTTTTTTTCGAAACGTGTGTATGTATATACACACATATATATGTTATAGCTTACAAGTTACTGAGGTGTGTGGGACTGTTTGCCTTTTTGCTAAATGACTCCAAGTTGCCATGCTTTGTAAATTACGCTTTGGTGGTTCTTATTCTCCATGCTTCACGCAGCCAGTGAGTAAACTTGCTGCTTTTAATGTGCTGCTTTTGTAGTATTCTGTATGTCTTTCTCTTCTAGCTTGTATTTGCTTCATTTAATCTGCTGTGGTTCAGGGGGAAAAATGATACTGATAGATTTTTGAATATGTTCCTAAAGTTGTAGATTTCTAATTACTACATATGATTGTATGAATGTGACCTCTGGGGATCTCTTAGGAATAAAGTACATAAACTGTTGTACTTGGAAGCAGAACAGTTCTTTTGACTACTGACAGACCCTACTTTATTTGCTTATCGGGTTCTCAGTTGTGTTCTGAATAGCTGATGCTACTGGTAAGTGACTTCCGATTAAGTGAGCCAAATCAACCATGCAGTCAGGACAGCCACCCATCACTTTCCCCTTACTTGCATCCAATTTGTGTACTGAAACTTCTGCTTCTTCCTGGGTGCTATTTCAGCGAAATGCCCCTTTCTTTTGCACTCTTGTCTCTAAATTAGTTTTATATCCATGAGAGAACAGGAGAATAAAGTTTGGAAGAACTTGTGGAATTATATTGCCTTCCTATTTGTCCTCTACATAACTCTCCCCTTAATCTACATGTATGGACTTATACCCTGGAGTTGATAACCCCACACAGCATTCTCCACCTTCCTCAACTTGTGGTTTGCCCCATCTTTTCCTTACTGAATATCTCTTAAAGCATACTGCTTACCCCTCACTTGACCTCCTTCAGCTGTGCATTTGCTTAGATCTCTTCCTCAGGTCTTCGGAGTCTTTACCAGTAGCCTAGAACTGGTGTGTATGTGAGGGGAATCTCCCCCACTGAGAACTGTATAAATTGGGTGGGGTGTGGGGTGTTGAGGGGCATCCCTTTATCTCAGTGGGAAGTTGCTTATCAGAGTAGAAGATTGAGAAGCAAGAAATATATCGAATTGGACCTCTGAGAACATTTTTCCTCTTTGAGAATCAATAGAGTTAGTTGAACTCTGTATAACATGATCTATAATGGGAAAGTGTCTTTGGAAAGCTAAGAAGCTAAGCATCCACAGAAACTCTTTATAGCAAAGCATGTGCAATGTATAATTTGGAGTCTTTTGTGAAGGGGTAGCATTCGCTTCCTTATGGAAGGCTTTTAATAAGTAAATTTTTTAATATCTTGCACATAGTCATATTTCTCCCCATTCTTTCCACTAGGAATTTCCATTTTTTACCTTGACGGCATTTCCTCCTGGATTTCTTGTGCACGTTGGGGGTGTTGTTAGTGCACGTTCTGTGAAGCTTTTGGATCGTATTCACAATCCTGGTATGTTCTTAAAAAATATGTTTTCAGTGTTTCAGCTACATAAATTGTAATTATTAAAATTTATTTTTACAATTTTCTTAATCTAAATCTATAAAAAAACTATAAAACTGTCATATATTACTTTAAAATATTTGTTGTAATTGTAATTAAAAATAAATGGAAATATACTTTACTTTTTAATACAAATCTTGGCTTGTTTTTTGGCCAAGGTATGATGTTGAGGAAATCCTTAAGCAAAATTTTAGTCAACTATTTTCTGTGACCCAGGCAGGTAACAGATTTTACAATTTGACCATTATGGCCATTGACTTAATACATTTAAGTGAAAGTATGTTAATTATCTTCACTAGCAGTATCTCTTTATAGATGCTTAAGTCATTTACTTAGTCCAAAAGAAGTATTCTTTTGAAAGATAGTTGTAAGCATTGCATAGTATAAGAATTGAAAAGAAATCATGTCTCTGGTTCCTTGGTTGCTGTTGTGTAGTGATTTGTTCTACATAAATGAACAAGTATGAATAGTAGCTCACTTCTTTAATAACCGGGACCAAAGTATTTTTAGACGTCAAAGTGCTAGTAATTTCAGGGCCTTGCATTAGGAATCATTTGGTAATTTTCTAAATCTAAAATAAAAATGACAGAGTGGTGATAACTTTCCTTGTGGAATGTGTTCCTGCACACACTCCCTCCTATTCACATAGATTAGTGCCTAATCATTCGCTTGAGTCATTTATTATTTTGATAACATATTTAATTTGAAATGATATATAGCATTCTTACTGGCATATATTACATGTATTTTGAAAATTTTAAAAGTCACTTTCACTAACCTCTTTTCTGAGGCTTATATTGACAGGTATAAAATCTTTGAAATTACTGTATTGTAGATAGTAATTTTGAAGATGCATATGTCATTATCTTTTTTTTTTTAATGAAAAAGAATTTTGTCCTTGCCCTGGTATTTGATGTCACTTGAGTTAATAATTACAGAGAAACAGAATAAAATTTTCTAGCCCTTGAATGAAATTTCATGACAACAGTACTAGTTAGGATTATTTCAACTCTAAAGTTGAACAAATACAGCTTCCAGGCATTTGTCTTCTCTTTTACTTCTGTGGTTTAGTTTTTTCCCTGCTTCTAACTTTGATCCTAAGATCAATTTAGGATCTTTTCTTCATTGTAGTATTTGTGTATTCTGCAGCAGTTAACTGCAATTTTAGATTGATGCCCATTTCCTGTGTTGAGAACTTGGAGATTATTCCATTTCTTAGTATTAAGGAGCTCGAAATGTTTGGAAAGTGCACAGTTGTACTGGGTTGAAAGGCCTGACGTTGACTCTGACCCAAGGCTAGGTACTGTGCTTCCCTGGGTCACTGAATTCGATATTTTGATAGGCTGTATGAGAGCTCCAAGAATGGTTTCAGAATGTATTTAATTGTCGGCAGTGTCTTCTGTTTATGGAAAACATTTTACTTTATTTCTCTGCTTCCATACACTCTGAGCAGCTTGTTGGGTCTGGGAGAACAAGTGAAGGTTATTTAAATCAGTTTAAGTAGTAAGCTGCTTTAAAATTGCATTAATTTTTACTAAAAAATTGTTGTTTGGGGAGTTTATTTTTCTTGCCAGTTATTTATAACTGTGTAAGAAATGTGAGAAACCAGGCCTAGGGATGCTTATAACAGATGATGTTTTGTGTATTTTAATTACCAGCTCACCCATTCTTTTCTCCTTTTCCCTTCCATAGGCATAATTTTCACCTTACATGTAGAAATCCTCAGTTATTAACTGACTGTTTATGAAAAGTCCCAAGGTTATCAGCATATACATACAAATGTTTTTAACAATATGAGTTAATTTTGCTTTATTTTCAGTTATATATAAATTGATGATTTACTCTAATTACATTATTTTGACATAAATATCTCATTCTTTGGATTGTTATATGTTTATATATATATATATGTGTGTGTGTGTATAGTATGCATATATGTATATATTATACATTTAAAAGCAACGTTTTCTCAAGAACATTTTATTAATCTCCAGGCCCTGTAAGTGTGTATGAAAAAATTTGAATTTGTTGAAAAAGTTGAGTATTAACACTTAACTCTACATTAGCATCTTCTATGGTGAAGATGTATTAATTAACTTTTTGAGTTACAATGCTGAGAGAAACTTAACAGTGGAGTAGTATGAGTGTGCTAATGTTCAAAGTTCTGTATTTGTATTCCCAAATGAATCTTGCAACTATACACACACACACACACACACACACACACATTTTTGACTGGTGAACATGGAAAGTTTTCATTTTACACATAAGCATGGGAGAAAATTTTTTATTTTCACTACCATATGCTAATTATGGATTATTATTTTGGAGTTACTTATTTTAGAACTTCCTCCTTTGTTGAATATAAGCAAACAGGAATAGAGGGGAAAGAGGGTTGGTGTTAAAAGTCCAGTAATTAACTTAATTAAATCTTAGGTAATGTTAGACTATGATAGCATGTTCCTTCTTCCCTTTCTATTTCTATATCTTATTAACTCTGCTGTCTATGTCTTTCCAGTTCCTGTCGAGTGGTGTTGTCAATTGTGTTCTTGTTTGTAGTATTTTTGTTTTATTTCTACTATTCTGCATCTAAAACTGATCTACTAATTTGCTGTTTTGAACTCAGCCTTTGTCGGAATTATGGGTAACACAAGATCTTACAAACTGCTAGACTGGAATAGTTTCAATTCAGGTATTTTAATGGTCCTTCAGTACTACATATGCTGACAGAAATTATGGCAGCTCAGTGAAGTTTTTAGAAATGTTTTAGATTAAATAGGTTTACTATCAATTCAATCATACAGATACTTCCTACAATACATGTTATAATTCTTGTAATTTCTATGGAGATGCAAATATAAAGATGAGCTATCTAAAATGAATTAATTAAAACCTTAGCAAAACCATAAGTTACAGATGGCTTTGTTTGATGACTGCCTTTTAAAATGATGATTTTAAATACTTATTATGTTTTTGTTTTGGACAATTTTGTATCAGGTAAATGATACAGACATTGTCTTTGTAATTAATGAAATACTAATTGTTAAATACAAATATTAAATGACTAACTTAATAATCTTAAAGTATATTTAAAGTTTAATTTTGAATTGAATATATTTAAGGTTCTATAAATAGTATAAGTCTAGCTATTAACAATTTATAATCCCAGAAGTGTTCCAATTTTGGTAAGTAAGAGCATTAGGTAGTTTTTTTCTTTTCCCTTCCATGCAAAAATGTAATTTTTCTTTTAAAGTAATTTTATATGTGAATATAGTTTATAATATAAATTAAATTAACTTTACAGCTGATGATGTGGTTTAGAGTCAAAGTCAATTATCTTTTTGATATAAACATTTTCTCTTATAACTACCTAAATTTTCCTTAAGAAATAAATAATACAACCATTTGACTTAAGTATCAGAAGCAAGTACTTTGCCTAAAGATTTTTTTTCAGTTTTTTAAAATTTTTGGTATTAGAAAGTGTATCTATTTACAGAAAAACAGAAGCATTGAGAGACTTAGCATTTTAGATAATATCCCAAAGTCTTTTCAATATTATAAATTTTTTTTTGTTCTTAGGGGTCCAAGGTTTAAGTTCTAATGTAAGTAATGCATGTTTGACTATGAAGTAAATCACGTTCATCTTGCAGATTTACCTAAATTCAGTCTAGTAAACAATCTGAACAGGTCTAACCTTTGCAGATTTAGACTGACATTAACTGGTAAATCTCTAGGGAAATTATCTACTCTCTACTTCTTATCTAGGTTTTTGCTGGCTTGTTTGTTATCTCATTGATTCAACTTAAAGTAATCATTTTCAATGTACTATTGATACTTCATAAATGACTTTCAGTAATAAGTTAAAAATACCCTGCTGGACTTACTTAATAAAAATAAGAATATATCCTTAAAACATAGGCAGATTAGTGTAGTGGGAGGAGAAAAAGACTACTAATGTAAGAAAAGGACATTGAAACAGATCAGTTATTAATAATTTAAGGAACTGAAACCTCCTGGTGGCCAAGATATTTAATTTGAGATGTATGTTAGTTGACAGGAAAGTCTTACAAAGTGAAAAAGACAAAAATTAAATTTTGTACATAATAAAGACTCTGTTCCAAATTTGGCAAGGAGAAACATAGTTGAGGAAGCAGTATATCTTGCCATCATTTAAAAGAACATCAGGGACCTCCCTGGTGGTGCAGTGGGTTGGGGCACAGCATTGTGAAGTTGTTGCAGCCAGTATAGTATAGCATGAGTTCGATCCCTGGCCAGGGAGGTGACCCACATAGCATGGCAGACCTCTCCTGTCTCCCTGCTGCTCCCCTCAGCAGTGTATTTCAGTAGATTTGCCTGTTCTGCTCCCCCCTTTGTCTCTGGTGAATCTTCTTTCCACCACCCCCATATCTCTGGCCTTTACCCCAGTTATGTATGCATAAACAAATAAATCTAAAAAATAAATAAATTATTGAGATCTTTATTGTAAAACAAAATAAAAGAACATCAGATATTAAAGGCATGGGAAAAAAGATTGAGATAAGTTACAGAATATTAAAAAAAAAAAACTAAGAGATGTTCTTAAAGTAGTATGCTCTGGGTTGAAGTATTACACTTTTCTGGTAACATTTTGTACATTTTCAGAAATCAGATTGATTTTGATATTATTAAGGAAGAACAATTTGGTGATTTATAAAAAAAATTACGTATTTGGTAAATACATTCAAATCACATGTATGCTTCTCTGTAAGTAGAGAATGTGTAGCCACTGCTGTCCTAGATTACCATAGAAAACCAAGAATCTGCCACAATTTGTAATCAAAGGAATTGTTAATACAATTTTTGGTGATGACAGAAATTGTTCTTCCGTACTGAGTTTTGTAGATTCTCTAATACCATGCGTCTTCAAAGAGAACAACAGTCTTCCAAGAGAAAAGAGGAACACTACCATGTTTAATATACTTATTAATAAACATTTTTAATTGATTGTGGAAAGGTAGAGGGAAATGTTTTATATCACAGTAATATTTAAAAAGATACAATATGCCATGTAGTCATTTATTGTACTTTACCTTCTGCCATGCAGTTTACAGGCTAACAGGTATGCAGACATCCTAATCCTACCCCCCTTTCCCAAAGCTCATATTCTTAAAGGATAAAAAAATTTACAATTAGTTTACTCTGTGGTGCGATGTAAGACAGAATTCAGAGGATGGTGTGATTAACGATGTAGCAAGGAAGCTGTAGAGGTAATTCTTGTAGTTCTGAAGGATATATAGGAGATCCTTATTTAAGACATTTTATTTGGAACTATGTTAATATCAACATATCCTCTGAATGTAATTATGAAACTTCCAGCATTTGCAAAACAGTATTCCAGTCAGCAAATATCCTTTTGATGAGAAAGCTACTTCATAAACTTAGCAAGTCTTTGCTACTGAGTACAGAATATCTTGGTATTTTAATTCTTTACCCCTGTCCGCTTCACTACTTTGCCTTAGCTTGTGTTAACTACTACAGTGATAAAAATGTGTTTTAAAGAGTAGGAAGAAGGGTACTCGGGTGGTGGTAGTGAGGTTTGAGTATTTATTTTAAAAATTATTATCTTGCTTCTGTTTCTGGCTTGAGAAAGACAAGATGAATCTTGCTACTAGGAAAAAGGGGATTTAGCATTTGCAAATCTTGTGCATGGCAGGCTAGCTAGCAGCAGGGAGTGCAAAGGAATAAGATTGGAGTAAGCCACAGCTTATTTGCTTTAGATCATTTACTATGGGATGGAGAGTGAATTTAAAGACAGAACAACTGGAGACAGGCATACTAGTTTATAGCAGTAATCCTGGCCAGAGAGGTGACCTAGGATGCGACTAGAAATGGGGAAGCTAATGTTGAGAGAACCCTTGCTCTGAGCTGGGCACTCCTCTGTGTGCTTTCATGGCTTTGGGTCATTTAATCCTTTGAACATAACTCTGAAGCTGGCTCTGTTTTCATCCTCTCAGAGAGTAAATGGAAGCTCTGTCATTTTCCCAAGGTTAGATAAGGTTGGAAAGTGGCCGAGCCACAATATTAACCCCTCTGACTTCAGGGCCTAATCTGATCTTAACCATAAATTTACAGAATAGTTAGAACATAGAATTTGCCAAATAGTAGATGTGGTGGGAAGACAGGCTATTGACAATTTTTAGCTGAGAACAAGACAAGCTAGGTCCTGACTCCCACATACCTACTTGAACTTCCAAAATCTCAGAATGTTGTGAATGATCTTTGGAAATGCAAGTGTTTTGAAAGTTGGCTGTAAAAATATTTTCAGAATAAATTTTAGTAATCCTGGACCTAACTTTCTCAAGTGGGTGTGATTATTTTTTCAGAGTTTAATCCTGGACCTACTTTCTCAAGTGGGTGTGATTATTTTTTCAGAGTTTACTCCTTAAAGTATTCCTTAGTAACTCACAATATAGTTTTGAAATCAGTCATTGTGTTGAGAAAAGTGTTATTATTCTTTCTTTGTATATAGTTCATATCAGCATAATTTTATTTTTTTAGGAAGTGACAAGAGGAAATAAGTAGTGATATAATATCGTTTGAAATTACTAGATTTAAAAATAGTATTTTTAAGAGAATGTTGTCAATCTTGAGTTAGCAAAACAGCTTTTTAAAAATTAGATAACTTATTTCTGAGGTTACTTTAAAATTTTTTCCTTAATATTTTACAATGATTAGATTTTAGGACAAATTTACTTAAACAAGTTCTCAATCTTACAATAAATATAGCTTTGCCAAATGATAAATCAAGCTGCAGATGACTATTTTGAATTTAAAAGTTTTACTCTTTTTCTGTTTAGATAATGCCCTTATTTTGAGAGTAATAGTTAAAACCTAAAAATTTAGGTATAATTATAATTATCACTAAAAATATTTAATTTTAACAAAGTATGAATTGGCTGTTATGTTAAGAAAATATTTATGGGGTATACATATCAGTCTGCTTACCTAAATTTTCCTCCCAATTCCAAGTAAAAACCTTTTTTTTACTCCAATGATGTTGAGGACTGGGGAGGCCATTGTTCAGCTAGGTGACATCCTGGTTACACACCCAGGTCAGGCTATTTCTCATACTACTCCTGCTGCATGTTGGCGTGCATGTGTGTGTGTAGTTAAATGGAGGTAGATTTTCCTAAACTTGAATTCTACTGGACATCTCAGCAATTATTTTTTTATTATATTTATGAGGTTGTTATGCAAAAAACTAAGACTAATGTAGTTCAACAATTTTTGGTTTTCACTATTTTAGTAAGTTTTCAGAAGTGGAGTTCAAGAATGTATAAACATAGCATGTGTGGTATGCAGTTTTTCTCATAGATACAAGGAATATATAATCTTCTCTCTATATAAAGCAACTGAATATTCATAACTCATCATTCTTTACTGTATGTAGAAAAAGACCACATCATTTATTCCTTAATTATGAAATTTCTCTCTTTATAAATTGATATATATAGTACAACCAAATATTCTTTATATTATATTGTATATTGGATATAATATAACATGTAAATACAATATATAATTTTCTTTTTAAATAGTGGAACTGGTACCCAACTACATTATGTAAATAAAGAGTGGAATTTCACAATTAAAGAGTGAGTGACTGACCTTTTTTTATAGATAGTAAAGACTTCAGTTGGTCCAACATAGATTATATCCTGCCTATCCTCATAATATCCCAGGTCGCTTCATCATGATGTTTTCTCTGAACTTGCAAATCATTTCCTCTCTGCGACACTCTTTTTTTCTATTCTGACACTGAATCCCCACCAAGGTTGAGATTGTCTACTCTGCTAAACCCCAAAATCTCCAATTTCAGCTTCATTTGGGAAAATTTATCATCTTCACAAGGTTGTTTTCAGTTGAAATACTACTTTTAGATTCTCATTGTTTTAAAAACTTTTATTTGATCCTACCTGTACTTTATTTCCTCTTGTTCATTTAAAAGTTACATTGAATACTGCCCATTCCTTTTGTTCCCCCTCTCATCCAGATTTCTAGGGGTGAGTTATTTCAGGGCTGTGAAGAAATAAGTAGTAAACCTTTAGGTAGTCAGTGTTTCCCAGAAGTGTCTGCCTAAAACCTCAAAAGGGTTGAGTTGTTCACTTTATAACCTACTACTGTCATTTTAGGAATCTTTACCATTTTCACCTGCATTTCAGAAACAAGATAATATGCTAAAAAGATGGCAAGATTTCAAACTATGGCCATGCTCTAGAGAAGAAATAGCAGTAAAATGGATTGTGATGTCAACCTAAGTGTGCAGACTTTATCCCTAAGAGAAGTATCAGAGAGGTATTTGTCTAGCAATCAAGTCATCCTTATAATTAGGAGGATTTATTCAAAGATTTGCAATATTATCTATGGAGAGTTTCGATCCATGAAAGAAAAATATAAACAGTATGAAATATGTGTATAGTGATTAAATCTTGATTATCTCCTAAAAAAGATTAAAAAAATAATTATAAGTAATTCTATAGATTATCAGGAGGAGCATGGTATTTAATTTGAAGATTTTTTTTTTTACATCTCTGAAATGCTTATTAATTGTGACCCTCACATCTCAGCTGTATATAAATGACTAAATTGTGTCCATTCTCATGGATGGCCAGGATTAGTGCCAAACATTTTTGAACTAGACTATTTTGCCTTTCAGATAAGTTTGGTAGGTCCTCATTTTTCTCCTTTTGTAGCATGAATAATCAATTCAAATTCACTAGACTATTACCTATGAGGATGTAGTTAGCAGTTTTTAAGCCTTAAAATTCCATTATACTGTGCTATTTTTGAATTTTCAGTTGTATTAAATTAGGCTGAATCATAATTACTACCTGAATATTCTCTGACTCATCTCTTGCATAAGTATAATGCTGACTTTAAAGATAATTTTTCTTAAACCTTAAATAATTGATTAATCTTTATTTTAAACAACCCCTAAATTTAACAACCAAAAATTTCATCTTATGGCTTCTTGCTTACAGTTGTAGATGATTGTTAATCCAATTACTAGTTTGTGACTAAGTTCTCCCTACTGTATGCTTGCCTTGCTTTCACCTAGAATCTAGGGCCATTACTTTCTGTAACCATTTCAGTGAGCTGCCATAGTTTTCAGTCTGTACTGTCACCTGATCCAAGCATGCGCCACAATACCCACTGTTCCTGGCTCCTGTCTGCTGAATCTGCTTTGCAAAACCCTTTGTTCTTTGAGCTTTTGCTTCAGCCAAAAACCAAATTTAAGAAATTCTTTGGAGTGTGGACATATGCCATTTGCTTCCTTAGTTCCCATGTTATGTAGCTCTTTAGCTTTTATTCAACTTGTAAATACTTTATTAAGTCCAACAGCGGCATCCCATGTGCAACTGTGTGGCTCATTGTCAAAATAAAGGCTGCTTGTGAATTTGTCAGAAGAATATGAATGCTCCACTTGCGCTGCATTCAGCTTTTTGTTTTTATGTTGTTTTTTATATCAGCCACTTATTTTTTCATAGTGTTTGGTTTAATTATCTGATTTTACGTGTTATGCCAAGGTAAGTTTGACATAAATAAACTTTGTATTTTATGTGATTACATGTATTTCATAGTTGTTATTATTATATAGTTTCCCATTTAGACATGCTGGCCATTTATAAATAAATATATTTTGAACTAAAAATAAGTAGCTCCCTCCATTTTTCATTAACTTATAAAGCAGCATAATGTATTACTTTTTGTGAGTTTTATTTTTTTAAACAGAAAAGTATGTAATACTTGCAGCACAGATGTAGGAAAGTTTAATGTGAGAAAATCTATTTTTATAAAAATGCAGCATACAACCATTTGTGTTAGTAAGTAACAGGTTCAAATGCTTTTAGGAAATGTTAGACTTTGAATTTTATTCTTTTTTTTTCAGGAAAATAATTATTTTCTAGACTGAGGTTTTTAAATTATTGTTTGTAATGTTTATTTTCTAAAATTCTTAAATAGTTTAATAGGTTAGAGCAATTACTTTAATAATAGTTTTTTCTTACAATATTTAAAGTCGCTTTAGGGAATAGATTTGAGAGTGTATTTATGCTGTTAATGTATATATTTGGGATACGGAGAAATTTTTTTTAACTCTTAGTGTTATTTGTTAAACAGGGCCACCTAATTGTCTCACACATTTCTTAATTCCTATGAGTGACTGCTAAAACCATGTTGTAGTCTTTTCTATTTCTTCCTTCATATTTATCTCATACTTTGATCTTCTCCTCAGTTTCCTGGAATCTGCATTTCTTTCTTTTCTTCTGAAAGAAGGCTTTAGGGTAGCTCTGTCTTTGATCCAAAAATTTAATTCAAGAACTGGCTGGCATCATTTGTTAGTTCTGACTTTTATCTCCTCACTTGTCCCTTTTTTCCCTCCCTGTGGAGGAAACAAAATAACACCATAGGAATGTGAATTATACAACCCCTTTAACCTTTCTTTACTTTGCTGTCTTCATATTTTACTAGTGAGTATAATACTACTTATTTTACTTATTTTGAAAAGCATTTTGAAATGTGGATATGTGCTGCAATTCAAAAATAGAAACATTTTGGATTGTTTAATTTTTAATTTTAATAGTGCTTTTTATGTGGAAAATTTATAATAGGAGCTTAGCATCCTATTTAGTGTTGATTTAAACTTTCAGTATTTCAAAAATGGTCTCCCACAGAATTGGCACAAAAAGAAACAAAATAAGATAATGCTGATTATAGACTTTCTGTTTTTATCGTCTTTACACATAAAACGTTACTATAATTTGGAGCTGCTCTTCAGCAATAGTTTGCAGCTCACTGCAAGTGATCAAGAAGTATGTGTGACAGATGTTCCATTTATAATGCTCCGTTATAAGCAATATTGGGCCCCACTTTGGTAATAAGATATTATTCTGTGATCTGAGGCATTTCCTTAATTGTGGAGTTTATCGTATTCTGTCTGAAATTTTTCCTTATGCAGTGACATAATTTGATTTCTTCAATGTATTTGTTTCTTTTATTTAAACTAGCTAGTACCTTTAATTCTTGTCTCTTTGTTTTAGACATGTCTCACATTTTTTAGACGGATTACTACAAATGGCATTCTCTCCTTTAACACAGTCAGATCTTTGCTTTGGAGAGAATCCAGAATATAGTAGGTTGTAAAACAGAGACTAGGAAATGAAATCTGAATTTAAATGAAATTTATGGATATGAATGAACATAAGTTGTTCATTCGCTGAGGTGACAGAGAGGATCTTCTCTCAATTTAAGATTAGGATCTAGGAATTCTGGGTCTCCATTTTAAGTTGTGTCTAATAAGATATATTCCTATAGAAGTCCCTTAAAGTAATAATGCAAAGAAGACTAGATTTTTTGCTGTCAATTCAGTTTAAAATGTTAAATTTTGTGAGAAGTAGTATTAAATTAAATAAAATGTTAATAAGATTTTTGAGAAACAGCATTTTATAGTTGTTAGTTTTAAAATCTGTGTGAGACACTATTTCCAGAGTACGTTTATTTGAAACATTTCTTGTTCATATAGACAATGTGTGTTGAGTAGTGAACTGATTTAAAATTTATTTTTCAGATGAACCAGAAACTCGAGATGCGTGGTGGGCAGAAATCAGACAAGAAATAAAATCACATGCTAAAGCATTAGGCTGTCATGCTGTAGTGGGCTACAGTGAATCAACTAGCATCTGGTAAATGATAATAATGACTTGATTTTCTAGATGCTGTAACTTACAGATTGTCATCTGAAAGGGGGAAAGCTTTCTGAAGATGTAGAGAAAAGAGGGATAGTGGGGTGATCCAGAAGAAAGGGCTGTGGAGTTTATCAGGTTCATGTACCACTTTTATACTTAATTGCTCTGTAACTTTGGGAAGGTTACTTTTCTTGTCTGAATTACCATTTATTTATACATTGATTGGAGATCATACTGCCTATCAGTTGAGGTTATTGAGGGATTAAAATAAGAACACTGCCACATAGCAAGAAGTAACTGTAGGCCCATTCTGCTTCAGTTTATGACTTTCCTCCCTACACTGGGGTCTTTGGGGCACTTGATCTGTATTGTAAATGAACTGTTATGTGTCTTTTAAGTTTATCTATAAACTTATTTCACTTTTGGCTAACTAACTTAACTTTCTCTTGCCAACAAATTATTTTCCGAACTGCCGAGTTAGGGAAGCACTTCTATTCTCTTAGTTTTTATCCATGCCTTTAAAGTTCATGCCATTCCACAGATTGGACTTTCCTTCCTCGAAAATATTCTCCTGCCTTCCTTAATTAGCTCTCTGTGATCTGCAGTCTTTATTGGTTCTTTTTTCAAACAGCCTGACACTGAACTTTTTCATCCTTAAGGCCTGTATGTCTACTTAATTTTCAACCATATTTTTGATGTAATTATTTTTTGTAAATACCTTTTTTAAAATTTCAATCTATAAAATTTCACTCTTCAATAACAACTTAGTATTTTCCACCCATTATATTTACTCACGTACCTACTTTGTTTTGATCCCTTTCTTAACCAAGAGTTTTCCCTTTCCTCACTCAGGTTCTGACTTGCTCTCTGCTAACCTTGAAGGAACATTCAGCCCCTCCAAAAGTTTGTAATAGGTGTCATCTAGAAACTCTTTGAACTTGTCCTTCCTTCTTTCCCCACCTTCTATCCTTGGATAATTTTTACAGCCAACTAGTATGTATATATTTCTCTTTTGCTTCTTGCAAGATCATTGTTAGAGAAAAGTGAATATAGAAATGTAAACATTACAGACGATGCTACTTCTGAGGGTCCTTTCTTTTCCTTTGTATACCATGTATTAAACTCTTGAACTGGTCTATTCCCTTAGTAAGCTGTTCTACTCTTGTTAAACTGCTTTCTTATGCCTGTCTTGACTTACTCCCCAGGGGTCTTGCCTCATTTTTGGATTTAGTGTTGCACACTTTTATGTCCTAGTGACAGGATTTTTTTTCTCTTTTTATTAATCAATTGATTATTCTTTTTTTTTATTGTGGTCCTCATAGTTCTCCCACTACCATATCACCCATTAAGCATCACCATATCCACTTATGCTCTTTTCTCCCCTGTCTTGACCCCCTCACCCCCCGCCTCCACTCCCTCTCCCTGTTACTGGTTGCCTCAGTTATGTGGTCAGAGTGTGACACTGTTTTAAGACAGTTGTCTCTCTGAAGGGAGAAAGCAGTTACTGTATAAAAATGAACAATGACATAAGAAAATTTAAAAAATCAAACTGAAAAATAAATAAAAGATCTCGCCATCAGATTCATTCTGCTGGGGAGTTTGGAAAAATTATGTTTAATAATGATGTCCCAGATACTTTGGAGAATCCAACAAGACTGGAGGGATTGGAGGAAATTAACAGTGAACTAGCTGATGATTGAATTGAATCTCAGTGCATGAGTATGATATTTTAAAAGAAGAATGAATGCATAGAGAGAGGGCTCGTTTTTTAAAGAATAACATGTGAAAGAAGGCCAGAGATGAGATTCACTGTGGCTGGAGATAGGTCATTTTTCTGCCAAGCATTTATAGAACTGAGTCCTAATAATTTATTTAGAAACTTTAATTCATCTGATGCAAGCTTCTTTTTCCTTTAGCACTTAAAAAAAAATCTTCGTATTTTAATCCCATTTTACTCATTTTTTTCGAACTGCTTTCATTGTTATTGGATTAAACCTGATAGGCACTTCTGCTTTCTGGCCCCTGAATTCAGATGTCTACCTTGGCTCCAGGTGTTCTTCCTGTCTTCTCATTACTCACAGAGCAAATGATCATTTCTCTCAATTTTCTTAGGTTTCTGGTACACTTATGTTTTGTTCCTGTGTTTTGTCACTTGTGTTATAATTTTTCTCATTTTCTTTGTATGATTCCATTCAATAATTGTTTTGATTATTAACTATTATTGTCTTCAAGTTGGGTAAAATGTAATAGTTTCAAAGAATTCTTTCGAAAATAGATTTTTATCATAGATGTAGTTTTAATGCTAGTGCACTTTGGATTTTCTTACACTTATTAAGTTTAAATTAAGCTATAACAATACAGATATTTACATAGTTGAGCTTTTAGAATAATTTTCATAAAATTTAGTAAGCATTTGAAGTGTTCTTTATTACTGTATGTAAAGGATCATTGCTGAATTCAACAATATAATTAACACTTAAATATCCTAATCTTTCAGCTTTACCACATTTTAAAGCAATCTGTTGTCAATATTTATACTTCACCTTTTACTTAAAGAATGCTCGTCCTCTATATTAATAGCAGGGTATTACTGCTGTTTTTGATCCTAAGCTTAAGGGGGTAATCCTGCAGTATTGTATTTAGTGGAGTCAAACTTGAACTTAGATTGTGGCCTTATATCACTTTGATATTTAACATTTTTACAATATGAACTTGTATGTGTTTTTTCTCTTCTAGTGAAGAGGTCTGTATTTTATCTGCATCCGGCACGGCAGCTGTACTGAACCCTAGATTTCTGCAGGATGGCACCGTGGAGGGCTGTTTGGAACAGAGGTGGTCATGGCAGCTGGGGTTATTTCCTATTAGGGCAAAAAAGGGAGAGGTGGACTTGGTTCTCTTAGATGGTGGTTTTTCTCTGTGAGGGTGGGTAACAGTGGTGTAGTTAGTAATCAGGACCAGACACTTTACTTAACTTTAACTGACAGATAGTAATAAAGAAGGCTTAGGTTCTGCACTCTATTGCATGTGTTACTGTTTTCAGTATCTTGATGAGTAACATATATAACTGACATAAATAACTATCAATTTCAACTTCAAGTATACAGTTTTTTGTTTGGCAAAGTAGAGGAATAACAAAAAGAGGTCATGAAGCAATTTTTATAAAGAAAATTCTTAATTTAGTAAAACAGAGCAATGTATTTTACCAAAATTATATATAAAAGCTTTATGAACAATGAAGTATGGCTATAGTGCATGTGATAGTGAAGTGAAAACACTGGATGGAATGAAATTGCTTTTTGGTTTATTTTATTAATTTTTAATTTGCTTTTATAAGCAGATATTTATCAAGATGGATGGATGGAGGGAGGGAGGGAGGGAGGGAGGGAGAGAGTAGTTTGGTATCACAGTTTACCTGGATAACATACATTTTAATTGTTTCTGACCTCCCAGTGTATATACTTGCTTTTCCTCAGGATTACTATGTTAGTATTTAATAAGGAAAAAAAAAGCAAAAACATTCTTTATCTGACAATATATACTATACAGTTGCAAGTCTTTATATAATATAAAAAATTTTCTCAGTTTGGGAGGCAAATAGAAGATATTGGTCAGTTTCTTCTTCTGTTAGTATTAAAAGTGAACTTTGACCATGTTATATTCCAGAACATTAAAATCATAAATAGGAAAATAAAATCATAAATAGAAAAGTGATACATGTTGAAGTATATTAAACAACCAGAATTCAATATTATATTGAGAAAACTGACTTCACCAGTGAGTTGTCCTAATGCTGCAGGAGAGTTCTCTCACATCTCAGTTAACTTCATTCTTGAGGGAGAGAAGTCTAATATAACAACGACCAGTGGCTTGCATAGATACAGTGAATTCTTGTCTGTGGCTGCCCAGAGTAACAGATGTCATCCCTGTTTGTAAAAGAGAAAAACCTCGTTTTTTTTTTTCTTCTAAAAAAAAAAAGTGTTAGGGTTTCCTAGAGAAAATTTGGAAATTGTGAGAGTAGAAGAGGAGGAGAATTCTCTATGATGTCACTATTCAGAGACAGTCCCATTTTTACATTACAAACTTCAACTGTTTTCATAAATGTCATATTATTTTTATGTCTTAACATGTTAAACCACTTAAGTTCAAACTTGTGTCACTTGTTTAATTAAAAATTGCTCCAGTTTTCATCCTTGTGTGATCCCTTTTAATACTTGGGCTTTGGATTCAATTTGGAATTAAAAACTGAAGTTTGCTGCTCAGTTCTTAGTGTGACTGAACAAGTTGCTTAGCATCTCAGGTAGGTTTTGGGCAAAACAGTCTGGTTCTTGTTGGTGACTGCTGAGCATTACTTTTCTTCTGTAATCATAAAAAAGTAAAAGGAATCTTTCTAGCTAGTTGTTATTATTCTGTTTTATAGAGGTAGCTCTGAGAAGTCAAATGATTTGCTAAAGCTCACACAACTTCACTCAGGTCTGCTGACTTCCCTATCTCTTCTAATACACAGAATGCCATCTCAGCAATAAAAGAATATTATCTGACAGTAGTAGAGGATTACTATGTAAATTTAGTGAAATAATATATACAGAAACTGTACAAAGCCTGGCTTCTAGGAAGGTACCCTGTGAGTTTCCTTTCCCTTTTTGAAAAAATATGTGTACTTCTAAGTTTCAGTTTCTAAAGAACTACTTTAGATTAGAAAGAATTGAGAAACCATGTTTTTTTCCAGATTTCCAGATGTTTTGTGTGAGTCGAGTTCTAAATGTAGCTTTTCTGTTTCCATTCCTGTTCTCTTAGTTTCCTTTAATTACATGAGTGAAAAAATAGTCATTCTAAAATGAATTTATAAATAGCATGTTACAAGCGCTTACAGTGACTAAGGGGGTGTGCTTTATGTGTATGTTGTTTATGAAACATGTTTGGTTTCTCAGAAGTATTAGAACAGTCTTTGGAGATTAGACAGAATATGACTATATATTTGTTTATAATCTTAATGATTTTTCATACTGATAGATTGGCTAAAATTTTTTTTTAAGATTTTTTTTTTATATTTGTTTTACATTTTCCAGCTAGTAGGGAAATATACTTTTACTGTCCACCCACTTGTTTCTGTGTTGAATCCCAAAATAAAAACTTGGGATAATAGTTTTTGGTAGGTGGTAAGTCATCAAACATAGATTGATTCAAAATGATTTTATAGTTATGTGAACTTTTCCTCTTAAAAGAGAGTATATGGTTCTGATTTCATAGTCATTTCTAATTCTTCTTGGTCACATTCTTGTTTTTAATCACCCACTGTGGAGGAAGGTATGGGGTAGTTTGTATGTAAGTACTATATATGCAGTGCATGTTTTGAAAAATAATCAAAAAACCTTAATGTATTTTCTTAATATATTCAATAGGCTAGAAGAAAATCTGCCTGCAGGCTGTGGGTTCTGCCATATACCATATGATGAACTGAATATGCCATTTCCAGCTCATCTCACCTACTGCTGTAACTGCAGGAAACAAAAAGTCCCTGATGTTCTCTTTACCACAATAGACCTCCCAGTGGATGCCACAGTTATTGGGAAAGGTTGTCTAATTCAGGCCAGGTATGTTTGTGGAAACAGTATTTGCGTCCCTGAAAGAGAACAGGGCATATAACTGGAAATAGTCCAAATATCTGTTTCCTTGATGCACGTACCTGGCAGGATGGGCAATTCTGTGTGAACCTGTATTTTAGCATAAGTGAAATTGGTAAGAAAAATACTCTTTTTATAAAACATTAAGTTTGTTGCCACAGAGATAATTAACCTGTTGAAAGCTAAGGGTGTGACTCAGTATGCTTGAATGGTATTAAATATGTAACACCTTCACCATTAAAGTGTAGGCTTTTGGAGACTTAGTTTATTGTAGGGACCTTTTGTATAGTTCTTGATGTCAAGAAGTTGGAAATTCAAATTTGTTAGACTTTTAAATATTCCCAAAACAAAATAGTGTCTTATGATTACATGCAGTTATGAAACCTGTATTCTCTGGTAATTTTGGTCAATATTTATTTGAGATTATTTTTCTTTTTTTTAATTGAACTGTGACGTTTAGCAGAAGACTGTAGAATGAAGAAGATAGTAGAAAAAGTTATTGATATAACTTTAGTAAACTCATTTGAAACAATTAAATGTTGACTCACTTTAAGAAAGTTCTAAATATTGGACATTTCTTAAAATGTACTGAGAATACTATCTTAGTAACTTACTTTCCTTACAGGTTATGTCGCTTGAAAAAGAAAGCACAGGCAGAAGCAAATGCCACAGCTATCAGTAATCTGTTGCCATTTATGGAATATGAAGTGCATACTCAGCTAATGAATAAACTAAAACTCAAAGGAATGAATGCATTATTTGGACTCAGAATTCAGATCACAGTGGGTGAAAATATGTTAATGGGCTTAGCGGTAAGTTTAGATGTTTTGGTTTTGTTTGGTGATTTTTTGTAGTTGTAGATTTTGTACAAGAGCAAATTTCTGTATGTAGGGGATAATTGCATGGTGATGGCAAACATAATTTAAGGAAGTAATAGGATTTTCATTAAAATATTTAATATTGCATTAATTTGGGAGAAAACGGGTTTATCATTCATTGTTCAAAAACTCACATGCTTATTAGTGAGAACGTAACATTAATATGCAATATGTGCTGAATACAAGGCTAGTTTTTAATAGGCATGCCTGTAGAAACTAAGAATTTATTCAAAGGTTTGTAATATACTGTGCCAACTGTAGCAAACTCTTCTGCTGATTGAGCCCCAGAAAACAATCTGTGTAATTCTTCACTGCTGCTTCCAGTACTGCCTTTCCTGATTCCTGCTCATCTTTTCCTTCTTGGTCATTAATGTTAACTCATGGCACTGTGTTTTCACTTGTGCTCTTAAATCTCAGAGTCTCTAGAGTAGCTTCCATGATGGTTAATCTCTGCTGAGTGTCACTGTGCTGCTCCACAGGAATGTGGGATTACCTTTGCTTTGTAAGAAGATAAAAGGATGCTGTGATATGTTGAGAGTTGTCCAAAGAAATACAGTTAACATTTTCTCAAACTGGTTTTTCTGGCCCAGCCCTGTCTGGTTTCAGAGGCTTTGTGTTCTCACCCATTTTGGCCTGGTTGCCTCATTAATGAATGCAGCTCAGAGGAGTGCAGTGGGCACAGAGGTCATGCCTAGGCAGAGCATCAGTCTGGGGCATGATGCAGGATGGACACTAGTCACAAACCGGAGAGCTCCTAGAGAGCAGTTCTATATACTGCAGAGACTTCATCATAGAGTTTCTGACTCCTTTTAGGATAGGCTTTAACAAATTTGGCAAATAATTAATTTAAAAATATGAAAATACAAAATACCCAGAGGTAAAAAACTTGTCTTTTCCCCATTTCACTCTTTTGTTGTTAATAATTTGATGTTTATATTTCTATACATTTTTTGCTTTCCTATATAAGCATATGTCAGCATACAAGCATATAAAGGGGTGTGTATGTGTGTGTGTGGTATGCCTGCACACACACACACACACACGCAGTATCTTGGTTTGTGTTTCCCTTAATAGTTTCCCAGAACAGATGGTAGGCAGTACTGTAGTAATTTAATCATAATGCTAATAGTCATTTATTTAAATATTTAAATCTGTCTGAAGTAAAGTTTTCATTCTTAGTAATTACAGAGGTGGGGTGGGTAGTGTAAAATTAATGGGTTCAGAATGAGAAGCAGATTCAAGTCTCTACATATTTATTGACAGTATGATTTCCAGTGAATTTCCTATCCTTTCTGGATTTCACATTGTTTTGTAAATGTTTTCTCTTACTTTGCCACTTAAAATGTACATGATATATTTATTCATGAAAAGTTTACTTTTTTAGAAACTTTTTTCAATAAATTTATTTTTTACAATCACAAGGTACAAATTTTGAAAGTACAATAGGATATATGGTGAAATCCTCCTCTTGCTACTGTCCCCTATCTTCCAGGGTCCATACTAAAAGCAGCTAACCCTGTTGCTGGTTAGATTTTTCTCTGCCTTTCCACATATGCATATCTGTGTGTTCACAGATGCTGAGTAACTTTTCCCTGCAGGGCTCCTATTCCTAAATATGAAACCTTAAGACATTTTTCTGTGGGAGAGGGGGACGATAGAAGAACTAGGGTGTAGGCCAGAGGTGCAGGGAGTAGGGAGGTGACAAAGGGGGGAGCAGAACAGGCAAATCTACTGAAATACAGTAAGGGGTGCAGTGGGCAAGACAGGAGAGGTCTGCTGTGCCATGTAGGTTGGCTCCCTGGCCAGGGTTCAAACTCAGGTCATAGTGGTTATAGTGCTGAGACGTAACCTGTAGACCACGAAGGAGGCCCAGTAACTGTTATCTGATTTTTTTTGATTTCTTTTCCATTATGTTTATAAGTCGGCCACAGGTGTATACTTAGCAGCTTTACCAACGCCTGGTGGTATTCAGATTGCTGGAAAGACACCTAATGATGGCTCATATGAACAGCATATATCTCATATGCAAAAGAAGATCAACGACACAATTGCTAAGAATAAAGAGTTATATGAAATCAACCCTCCAGTAAGTAGAATACATCTGCACTGCCGATGCTTTAAGTTGTTGTTTAGATGTTAATATATTTTTAGATTATCTTTTTTGAACATAAAACATTTTCTTCACTGTTTGGATTAGCTTTCCTCATGATTTCATCCTTTCACTTCCCTTTATATCTTGACTCAACTGTCTCCTTTTCAGGGCAAACCACCCTAATTATAACTCTTCTGTCAACTTTTGGTACATCCTGTCTGCCTCAGTGTTTTATTGTTTTCTGTTACTCTTATATCTGTGTGTCTTATGTTTGTAGTTTTGATTTTTGTTGCTTGCTTGTTACTCTCAGTAGAATAAAGCTCCTCCAGGACTGTCTTCCTGGTTTCTATAGCACTTCTTCCTTGTAGTAGCCTCTCAGTCAGTTCTCATTGAATGACTAGAATGATTTAAAATTTTTTTAGGAAAAAGAAGGATTGCATATCCACAGTAAAAATGTGAAAGATTACAGTTTTTCAGTTTAAGCTACTCAATCATTTTCCTACGAGTCATTTCCGTGGTCTGTCTTCGCATCAAGGCGGCAGTAGCTCTCCCTGTGCTGCCTGCTCTATTAAAGTGTAATGGCCATAGTGTGAAGGGAGTGAGAGTGCTGCAGGCATTAGAATGAAGCTATTTGCTTTTTGAGTCGCTGATAATTAAATACTTAAGTAAAATGAAAGTGGACAACATTAATAACATTTTTATTAGACTTTACTTTTATACATATAATGAATTTTGGCTGGTCTCCTAGTGTAGTGCATTTCTAGCTGCATATTTACTTCTTTCTAGCAAAGTTGTTAAACTGGGAGGAATTTTAAAGTTTTTAGCTAGAGCTTCACTATTCCATGTGGTAGATAATGGCTGTGTGTGGCTGGTGAGCTCGTGATGTGTGGCTGATCTAAATTGAGATGTGTCATAAGTCATACACTGGGTTTGAAAGTTTAGTTCAAAATGGAAAATAAAATAGCCTATGAATGTGTTGTTGGATAGATAGCATGTTGAAAGTGGATATATTAAGTTTAAGATACCTTTTTTTTTAACTTGATACCATTTTTCACTTCATTACTTTATATTTTTGTTGAACACTGCTTTATATTTTTGTTGAACTCTGAGTTCAATAAAAATATATCAATGGGCCCTTCCTGGTGTCGCAGTGGGTTAAAGCGTAGCACTAAGAAGTTAAAGCCACTTCCGCATGAGTTCGATCCCTGCCCTGGAAGTAATCCACATGGCACGGCAGACCTCTCCTGACCTGCCTACTGTTCCCCTCAGCAGTGTACTTCATAGATCTGCCTCTTCTGCTCCCCACTCTGTCTCTGGTGAGTCCTCTTACTGCCCCTGCACCTCTGGCCTGTACCCCAGTTCTACATGCACAAATAAATAAATCTTAAAAAAAAATATACACACACACACATATATCTCAATGTATTTATACATTAATATTTGAAAAACTGCCTTTGTTAAATTAAGGTATTCCATGCAACTTATATTGTAGTTGTTTTTCTTTTGTAATTATTGATTGATATTTGAATATTACAGTTGATGTCCATCGGGGAGAATGGTTTGAAAACTGTATGTTAGGCCTCAATGGTCAGTTCTACTGTTGTGAGCTGAACCCGGTTTGTTAGCAGTGTTGATTCCATCATGATCTCCCACAGGAACAATTGCTCCTCCTCCACCTCATTGTGTACCTCTGGTACCTGCCTGTGCTTCTGGTATAGTGCCAGTGACATAGTACTGATGAGGTTTCCTTTGTTCTTTTGCTGTCACACAAGCTCCTTGAAGACAGGAACATATTTAAATGAGAATGATTTAAGCCACTTCATCCATTCAGTAGCTATTTATTGAAATTCTACTACTGTCTTTTAGAGGAAGGAATAAATGTTAGATTTTTTTTTAGATTTCAGAATATATAGATTTCATATATTGCGTATGACTATCTTTCCATAAAAGGAGTAGTCAACTTATGAATCTTATAATTTCATAATTTCTGTTTTTTTTAAGGTTTATTTTTTTGTGCATACAGAACTGGGGCACAGGCCAGAGATGCAGGGGCGGTGAGAGGATTCACCAGAGATAGAGTGGGGAGCAGAACAGGTAGATCGTTGAAGTACACTGCTGAGGGGAGCAGCGGTGGGTCAGGAGAGGTCTGTGGTGCCATGTGGATCATCTCTAGGGCAGGTGGGGATCGAACTCATGTGGAAGTGGCTTTAGCTTCTTAGTGCTATGCTTTAACCCGCTGTGCCACCAGGGAGGGCCTATAATTTCTTTTTTCGTTACAGATCCTGATTCTAATAATCTTTTAGTGCAACATCTCAGTTTATTTGACAAAGTTAGGGTGTGATGGTAATTACCAGCTATCTACATAGTATGATACTCATATCATTGCTTTCTTTTCAATTTTCTAAACAATATATGCCCTCTCTGAAAATATGGATCACATATTTTCTTGGGGAAAATAGTTCCCACCACTGTGAATGCTCCTGTTGGATTTCTTTCTCAGTACATTGAGTGGTGTTTAAATGCTGAGGTATAGCAACACTGAAATGCAGCTGTTCAGTCATCCCAAAGGTATAAGAATAGTGTAGAACATTTAGAATGGGAGTACCAGTGATGCAGCACCATTATGAATTTAAAATATATTACATTGGAGAGTTGTATTTGTTAGGTGTGTGATACAGTGATTTTAAACTACTTTGACATTATAAAAAGATGTGTGGCATTAGTGGGAAAACATTGCACAAAGAGTCAAATAACTGACCTGGACAGCACCTTATTCGGATGCACCTCTGAACTACAGCTCGTCCTCACTGTCCTCAATAGAGGGCAGCTTAACTCGGAGTGCAAATAAGATAACACAGATGTGAAAGTATCCATTTATACTGTCCATAGATAGCTGTGTCATAAAGCTGTGTGCTGCTGGTCTCACTCACATAAGGTATGCATAATCATACCCCTGCAATGAACATTTGAGACTATATTTTTGAAAATCTTTCTCTATTTCCTTTTTAAAGATAACTCTGTTTCACCAGTGATAAGTATGAATTTTGCATTTGTGCTCACATATCAACATTTGATGATATTTTTTGTGGCCAACAGAAATTTCTAAGTTCTAGTTAGTTCTGGTTTTTGGCTATATAACATATAAAAGTTAATGAATTCTTACAGGATTCATAACACACACTGACCATACAAGATTATTACTGCTAACTGCCAACATTGATTTAACTTAATTAATAAGTTATACAACAAATACATGTGTTCAGTTTAACTATATCTACACAGAACATCATATTCCACATTTTACTATGTAGAGCTCTAGAAAATTACTACTGGATATGAAAAAATATAACAGATTAGAATCCTGTTAAAGGACATAAATCTTTAATGTCTTTATGGAATCTTATAATGTTAAAATGCTAAGTAGGAAATACCTCTGAGCTGAAAGGACTACAGTTCCCTTGTTCATTGTAGTATCTGCTATGTACACTAGCTGACAATACAACTTTGCTGTGTCTGTGACAGTTCTGTATGTTTCTGGGTAAGTGCATCAAGACTGCTATTACTGATAAAAGGAAGCATCTATTAACTAGTCATAGAGGTTATAGTTAAATATAGGTGGTGAATATATTTTACAGACTTCCCCCAGCTTCCATTTTTTATCTGTTAATATAGTAGTTTAAAACCCATCTGAAAAAGACTGTCTAATATGATATAAAGCAGCTTTTTTTTCTTTTAGGAAATGTCTGAAGAGATTGTAGGATCACCTATACCAGAACCTAGACAGCGCTCAAGACTTTTGAGATCTCAGTCAGAAAGCTCTGATGAGGTTACAGAATTGGATCTTTCACATGGAAAAAAAGACGCTTTTGTTTTGGAGGTATTATTGCACTGAACAAATTTCTTACGGTTTTTGAAAGAAGCTGTATATTCTTATAGTCAGATGTTAAATTGATGTGATACTTTCTTGTCATTCCAACTATTATAAATATTGGAAGAATATTTTGTTATAGACATTGCAACAAATTTGAAAATATCAACTTGTTAATATATTTTATGCAAATAGAAAAGTTAATGTATGGATTCAAATAGAATGTTAAACACAAAGCTATTTCTGTAGACTTGAACAAATTAGAAATTAAGTAACTATTGTTTTTGCTTACTGTATTATATTCTGTACATATAACATGTTACTATATAAAATTCCACGTGTAATATAGTGCAAACACTGAATTCTTAGTGTAGTGTTTTCTTACTAAATTCAAAAGATATAATTTAATCTCAGAACATTTTAGTAACTTTCCTATAGAATACGTGTGGCAGGAAAATTTTGTGGAGCCTCCTCCCTCACAAATATGTTCTCCTTCACCTTCCCCCATTGATTTGTTAGCTCTAGAAGAGAGAAAATATCTTCCTTTGATAATGAAGAAAGGAAAACAAATACTCAGAAATATTCTGATATAATATATTAGCTAGAGGAAAAGCCAAGTTCCTTGAGCTCAGGGAAGCTGGAAGCTGATAGTAGAGTTGTCCTGCAATAGGACTGGAGGTTTGATGAAACCAGAACTGTGGCCATGAATGTGATTGGGTTGTGTGGGGGATGCATGAGGCTTACCTGAGGCAAGAGTGTGCTAGGACACTCAAACTATATGTTTTGTGCCTTTTTCTCTGTTTTTTTTTTTTTTTCCCCCTACAGTGAGAATGGGAAAAGATGGAGGTTAGTAAAAGACTGTCAGGAGGTAAAAGGTTCCTCATGTTGTTTAGCAGCACTGTGTGGTATGGCTACTGTCAGTGTTATCTGAGAACTTGTAAGAAAACAAATTCTTGGACCCTACTTCAGACCTGGTCAGTGAAAATTTCAAGGTGGGGCCCAGGAGTCTGCTTAATAAATTCTGCAGATGATTTTAAACATTAGCTAATGTTTGGTCTAGGGCATTACTGGTCTGTCCGACCCTACGATCCCAGATCATGGGAGAAGAAAAGTGCTTCAAATGTGACAGGAGGTCAAGAGCGAGGTGCACATTCAGGAAGCAGTGGGACAAAGATAGTATTGTGGTTAGAGAAGGCTAGACATATGGGGTGGATTTTAGGGAGTATTGACTTGAGGAATGACTGTGGGTAGCTCCAATAAAGAAGCATAAATGGCTTTTTAAATTCAAAGGGCAATGTGAGGGAGGGCTTGGATAGTGTGCATCCGAACTTAAAACTCAGAAGCACTCATAAGTATCGATCAGGTTCCACAAGGTATTGTCACAGAGTCAGGTTACTCACAGTGAAGTAATGTAGGAGATAGGGTTTGGACTTATTATTTTTTTTTTTTAAAAGATTTATTTATTTGTGCATACAGAACTGGGGTACAGGCCAGAGGCTCAGGGGCGGTGAGAGGCTTCACCAGAGACAGAGTGGGGAGCAGAACAGGCAGATCAACGAAGTACACTGCTGAGGGGAGCAGCGGGCGGGTCAGGAGAGGTCTGCCGCGCCATGTGGTCACCTCCAGGGCAGGCGGGAATCGAACTCATGCGGAAGCGACTTTAGATTCTCAGTGCTGTGCTTTAACCCGCTGCACCACCAGGGAGGGCCCGGGTTTGGACTTATTTTTTTAGGCATGTATTAAATTTATCCCAGTGTTTAGCAAAAAAGTTTTTTTAAGTTGCACTTTAGTAATTCAAGAAAATTGATGTCATTGCTTATAATTTTTTGTCTTTTGAAATACACTCTCATGAAGACTTAAGAAAAGGCTCTCTTTTATTTTTAAAGAAATGTTTATGCATACAGAACTGGGATACAGGCCAGAGGTGCAGGAGTAGGATTCACCAGAGACAGAGTGGGGAGCGGAACAGGCAGACTGACCAAGTACACTGCTGAGGGGAGCAACAGGCGAGACAGGAAAGTTCTTCTGCTCCATGTGGATCAGCCCCCTGGCCAGGGATGGAACTTGTGCTGAAGTGGCTTCAGCTAGCTTTGTAGTGCTGTGCTTTTAGGTTGTTGCACCACCAGGGAGGGCCCACGACTCTCTATTTTTAACTCACTATAGTTTATAATATAAAAATATTTTACTGGCCCTCCCTGGTGGCGCAGCGGGTTAAAGCACTGCACTGAGAATCTAAAGCCGCTTCCGCATGAGTTTGATCCCGCCTGCCCCGGAGGTGACCACATGGCACGGCAGACCTCTCCTGACCCGCCCGCTGCTCCCCTCAGCAGTGTACTTCGTCCATCTGCCTGTTCTGCTCCCCACTCTGTCTCTGGTGAAGCCTCTCGCCGTCCCTGAGCCTCTGGCCTGTACCCCAGTTCTGTATGCACAAATAAATAAATCTTAAAAAAAAAAAAATATTTTACTTAGAAGTATTTTTATTACTGTGGAAAGAGTTTATAGATTACAGGAATGTGTTTTTTAAGTTTTACACAGGAGAAAATAGCCCTACTTTTCCTTAGGGTATGTGTTTTCTATTTAATAAATAATAACATTTTTTTAAGCTTGAAAGGATTATATATTTACTTCTTAATGTAATAGTTTTAATTTTTTATTTTCAGATTGATGACACAGATGCTATGGAAGATGTACATTCTCTCCTTACTGATGTTCCTCCTCCTTCAGGTAAATAAAAAACAATTTGAGATGAAACTAGCTTTGTATGTTATATTTCACTAATTTTTAGACTAATAGCTTTATTATAAAGGCTTTATCTATGTCCTTTACATGCTTGCTATGCTGAAAATATGCAATTTAGGTGGAATTGATTTTTAATCTTTTTACATTTAGATTTGAAAAAAGAGGTTTTAATTTATTCTATCCTGAAGGTATAGAGTTAAAAAATAATTCAGTTTTTAAAAATATGATAAATAGTTCATACATAGAGAACCTCATGATAATCGGAAAATGTTATTTAACACAGAAATAAATGAAATATTTTTATATACTTTAATTATGATTTGTTTTGACAGGCTTTTATAGTTGTAATACAGAAATTATGCCTGGCATAAATAACTGGACATCTGAAATACAGGTAAACCTTTCACTGTTCATTTTCAGTATATATATAAGTAAGTCCAAACAAATTCCTTCTTAATGCAGGTTTTTTTTTTTAATTATTGAAAAATGTTAACCTTTTTCAAGCCACATTATTGTTCATTATTTGGCTGTTTTATCAACTGATATAATACTTATTTTAAAAATAATAGAATAACTTGCTATTATATCTCTTCATATGTAGATGTTCACATCAGTAAGAGTAATTCGATTAAGCAGCCTTAACCTGACTAATCAAGCTCTCAATAAGAACTTTAATGATCTCTGTGAAAATTTGCTCAAGGTAGGAACCTTCTGACTATTTTAATTAAAACTAAGAATTAAAGGGAAATGTCTATCTGGAATATATTACACAGATATTATTTTTATTATAGGCCAATCTTGACTCTGAGATAAAAATGCTGAAGTTTTCCTCTCTATTTTAATGTACAAAATTATAAAATAATATTTTTAAGTTACTTCATAGATTTAAACATCATAAAGATTATTGTAGTTTTTGTGATTTAATCTTTTGAATGTTTCAAATGTGCATTAAAAATGGATTTTTATTCATTTTTGAAAAAGAAATGATATTATATATGTTTTTTGTTGTATAGAGCCTGTATTTTAAACTGCGGTCTATGATCCCTTGCTGCCTTTGCCACGTCAACTTTACAGTATCTCTGCCTGAAGATGAATTAATTCAGGTAATTAAGAGTCACTCGATTTTTTTCCCAGCTTTATTGAGATGTAATTGACACATACCATTGTGTATGCTTAAGGTGTACAAATGTGATAACTATATCACCTCACATAATTATCATTTTGGGAGGTGTTAAGAACATTAAGATATGTCATCTTAGAAACTTTACACACATGGGCTAACTATAGTCACCATACTGCACATGAAATCCCTAGGACTTAGCGCTAGAAATTTATACCCTTTGACAAACATCTCTCCATTTCATCCTCTCCATTACATCTCTCCATTTCATCCACACCCTCTAAGTAGGTGTGACTGGTTTTAATTCACATATAAGAGAGAACAAGCAGTATTTTATCTTATTTTACCTAAGATTCATTCTGTTATTAAAGATGTCTAGCTTTTATCTGTTTCATTATTAAAATTTTTCCTTCAGTAGATAAAGTTTTGCTTCCAAATCTTTGATTTGGAAGTTGCAAGTGTGCTTATGTGGGGTTTCTCCAGTCTCCAACTTTTAGAGAAGGTTCTTGAACTCGTTCTGAATACTGAGGTTTACATATACTAGTTGAGCTTGGTTGTTTGAGTATTAGAAGTTTTGTGTAAATGTGATTCAGAATGTTAACCATGCTAGGCAAATCACCCATTTAGTATAACTTGTCATCTTCTGAAAAAGGTTAGTATATTTTATAAGAGAAATTGGTAAAAATTGTAATTTTAGCAGTGACTATTTTGCTAATCATATTGCTTTTATGTTTCCAGGTTACAGTCACAGCAGTTGCAATAACTTTTGACAAAAATCAGGCTTTACAGACCACAAAAGCACATGTTGAAAAGTCATTGCAAAGAGGTAAATCTATGATGGATCGTTCATGTTCACTTACATTATAATTCATTGATAAATTATGGAGGACAGGGAGAATCCATTAGTGACTTGTTTCTTGAAGACCACATTTTCTGTTTATCTTGCTATTTTTCACACATGAAGAGGTAGATGACTGATGTTTTACATAGAGAGAATTGCTATTTTGTGGACTTAGGTTGTAGTTTGTTAATTTTGCAGTAACTTGAAGGTCTTTTTCTTGGGGTCTCAAAAGAGGTTTTCAAGACATCTGAGAATGTACTCAGATGGTAAAAATTCATGTATTTTTCTTAGGAAAGGTCCCGTTGTATTCAACAGAGTCTCAGAGTTGTCCTTCATCAAATAAAATATAAGAAGTACCATTGTTAATATATTGCAAAGAAACCCAAAGTATAAAATACCATTTATGTGTTCTGAAAAAGAGAGGGGAAAAGTATACTTCATAAAGTTTAATAATTTTCTGACTAAACAAAATATTCATGATAAGTCTAAAGTGTTTAACTTTGATGATTTGTACATGGTTCTGCATATACAACATTGAGTTAATATCAGATGGACAGATTTATTAAATAACTCTGAATATAAATATATTTTAAAAATTAATGCACAATAGTAACTTAAGATTCACAGAGCTACTAACTAGTAAAACAGTAAGAGTAGGCTAATAATCATCTTATTGAGTGCTTGTTAATTTTCAAGGCACTGTGCTGCTAAGAGATTAACATACATTATCATCTCTAACCTCACCACAGTGCTCTCATCTTCAACATGCACGGCTAAAGGGTCCTCAGGGGAAAAACCATGGAGAAATAAACAGAATAAAGTTGGGGAGGAGGAATACACATGCCATCAGAGTCTTAATTTTCAGAAAGTCAACAATAGATTATTATTACTAGATAACTAGTGTCTTTTTTTGCCTCTCAAGCTTCTACAGATAATGAGGAACTTCTGCAGTTTCCACTGGAACTCTGTTCAGACTCACTGCCTTCTCAGCCTTTTCCACCTTCTAAAGGTTGGTTAACTAAGGGAAATGCAAAAGCAAGTTCTAGTTTCTTTTACTTGTTTCTTCATTGTAGGCAGTATTACTTAATCTGAGATGAAGATTTACTCTTCATTCCCTCACTGTATGTTTCTTCATGTTCATGAAGGGGAGAAGGTAATGTTCGCCTTAATTTCTCAAGCAGTCTCATCATAAGTTATTAAGGTAATTTTTCATATGATTCCAGTCTTTTACTTCAAGTACATTAAAGTTTTATTTTCAGAGATTTGGATTTCCTTATAATGATTCTCAATATGGTATATTTGATACTTATATTAGGTAATTTTTTTCCAGCTACAGTTAACCTTTTATAAAAATGTTTAGATTTTCATAGATGGCAGAATACCTACTTTCTTTGGAAAATAAATGAGGAGCTTCTGAGTGGGAGCAACAGAAGTGTGAGAAAGTGTATTATGGCTGTAATTGAGTCGTTATGTCCTTTTAAGCTGTTACATTTTTTCAGGCAAAATGATTATATCTTTGCTTAATAGCCATAAGTCTACTTAGGTCTGTACAATCCTTGTAGAAAAATGGGAAGTAATTTTTACCACTTCTCTCTGATTTCATTGCAACTTTTATTACAAAAAATTTCAAAATTACTTACCTTGTAGTATTAATTTTACAATAAATGTTTTTTCCTAGAGTTTTTATTCTGAGAAATGGTGCATTTATAATGTAATACCAAAATAACTTTCTAATTTTTTGTTTTCTGAGACAAGTGGAGCTATTTCTATTTGTGAGTTATTTATCTGATATCAAACTAGTGTATTACAAATGGGTTTATGTTCACATCTAGATCAGTAGAGTCGTTAATAAACCAGCATGAGGCCTGTCAGAACATATATCCTCACTTGAGGATGAAAAAAATAAGTTATTTTCTAATCTAGTAACTGTGGTCTTCTTTCCTTTTTGTGTAAATTAAAATTCTAATTTAGAAGTCCGAAGGGATTTTTAGCATACTTTAACTTCCTTGAAAGAATAGAGAGGAAAATTAAATCCAAAGATAATCTGAGTTCAGATTTGTAAGTTAAATGTAGCCTCCAGAACAGAAAGCAGAACTATCTAAATCTTCCTAGAACTGACTAGATGGGAATTTTTAACGAACATCAGCTCTTTGCAGAAGTTCATGTTTCATGCATGGTTATTTCCAAACTGCTTTTAAGTATTACTTTGCTTATATTTTCCCTACATTGGGGGTGGGGTGTGGTAGTGTGGGGTGGGTTATTAGAACCAAGAATCCAATGAATAAAAATTTGATGTGTTGCTATTCTAAAGGAATAGGTACTGTGGACGTAAGGTTCCTATTAGTTCTTCTGTGTAAATATCTACTGAAATCTGCAGAATAGTCAACTTTAATTTTCCCCTGTACATCCATAATGTAATTATAATTTCTGCAGTGTCTTCAAAATGTGTTTTCATTAGTATATTGCCTATATGTCTAGTACTCTGTGAAGTGAAGAGTAAGGAAAGAAGAATTGGACAAAGTCACAACCTAAGCAGTATTTAAAACTTCTGCAGTTTATTTTGAGGAGTGTGGAGATGCCATGAGGTGGTGTAATAAAGCAACAGAGTTGAGTGTTCATCCCAGTTCTGCTGCTGACGAAGTATAACAATTTAGGCCAGTTAACCTCTGTATGCCTCAGTTGTTCATCTGTACATGTGGAAGGATTAAGATTCTCTTTGGTCTTTAAAACTGTTTCCTTAAGTTTCCATAGTTTATGGTTGAGTGATTAATATGTTCCTGTTAAAAATGTTAGTCCAAAACAGTTATGTTTAAAGTCATGCTGAGCTTCTTTTAATTAAGTTAAAATGTTCCAAATAGCTTCTAATCAGTTAAACCAATAATTGTTTAATTCTGCTCCTGCACACCTTAGAAGTCATTTAGAGGTGACTCATGACTTTCCTGGAAGTGGGGTGGGAAGAGAACTGGGGTTGAGTGGATGAGAGAATAAGCCTCTGTATCCCCCACCTCTGAAGGAAAGCATCTTCAATTCAACGTCCTTTAAAGTATTGGTTTTCTCTATGTGACTTTGAGGAAAGGTTTCAAAGTTTGAAAGACGTGAATCAGATCACATCACCTCTATCATCACCACCACCACCACCATGGCAGTCATTGTAATGTTCACCATCATCACATCTGACACTAATGTATATAAAACTTTTTACATTAAGTATTTACCTGCAAGACCTATGTGCTGCTTCTTGAGTATTACATTTAAGAATCATTAGTGCACTAATACATTGATCTGTACCTTTTTAAAGTAAATTGTTTTATGAATCGTGATTTCTGTTGCATGCTTTTTATTCATTGTCTTTGCTTCTTCAAGTCTTTTCAGGAGGATGTAGGCTGTACTAAATATATTTGAAAGCGTTTCTCAATGTGTTTTGGAAAATTGGAGATAGGATGGGTTCTGGAAAGATCTCCAATGAATGTAATAGTAATAATAATGTTATAACTTGAATATAGTAAATGAGTATTGTAACTAAGTATTGAACCCCTATGAAAGTTTTGAATAGAGAATAGAAATACCTGAAGAAAGTTAAGCATATGGATTTAAAGGAAATAGGCAGCAGAGAAAGGCTGGTAATAGTTCTGGGAAAACAACAACAATAAAAATTTACCTACTTTCTTATGTGCAACCACAAGAGACTTAAAAATCAACTAGTAATACTGATAAAAAAATAAACATGCCATTTTTTATAGTTTGTTTGCTCATTAGGTAAGTTGATAGTTGTTTCTTTTTAAATTCTGAAAGCTTTGAAGTTGGATTTTTTTTCATGTTCTTATCACAGATAGGCTGATTGTTAAAAATTTCATTCCTTTTATGTTGACAGTAGTTTCAAGAGCTATTGATAGTGTGTTTATTAATATTTCCATCTTTTTACTTGTAGATAAACCTTTCCTTATCTTTTTGTGTTATTGAAGATGAATGACTATTATATGGAGAAAAATTATCTAATGACATGTACCCTATATATATTCACTATATAGAGGAAGCTGGGCCTGAATTGTCCATCCATGTTCAATTTTTTCTTCTGTGTTTTGTTACATTTGGCTTTGTTTTTCAAGGTTACAAAGTGGTTTGATGGATGTAATCCTCAAATTTATGGTTGATTGGTGTAACCTTGCTAGTTGCCTTGATTTTTGTGAATTGTAATATTAAAAAGTGCTGAGCCTAAGTAATTTTTTTGAAAGATATTAATATGTGAAAGCCATCAAAATTCTTTGAAAAACTTTGGTGAGGAACATAACTTATGTTATGTAATGAGAAAAATGATGGTATAAAAATTCTATACCAGTTTCATAATCTATTCTAATAGTTAAATATCAACATTTCCTTTTAAATGGTTAGTGAGAGAGAGAACATGAGCTTGAGCAAATATAATAAATGTGGAATCTGAAGAATGTGATCTGTGTGAACTATTAAATCAGTGATTTTTCTTACAGATTGGTTAAATTCAAGAATTTCATGTATGCGATTTTTAAAATCAAAGTTAACATATTACACTGGTTATATGTCTAAGGATGTAAATCTTGAGATATTAGGTACCATATAGTGAGGCTTATGAAATTTTATTAATGACATTGTGGGAATTATATGCCACTACAGTTTGGTCTCAAATTCTTTATAAATAATATCTGTGAAAGATGATAGTTTCCATTAAAATCTTGAGAATTTAAGGGCTGTTTTAGGTTTGATTAAGTCAACTTTAATTCTTACATACTGTTAGAGGAAAGTATGTAGAAGAAAAGTATTATACCCTCTCGGTAGTACTTTGACCTTGCTCTCTGCTGGGTGATTTCCTCAGGGAGAGTCTAGTAAGCCATCCACTGTCAGGAGTGCTGCTCTCATTCAGCAGTTGCTGACTGGTGGGCCAGGAAGAGGTCAAGATTTGAATTTCAGTAGAAAAGAGGACAGGTTGACTCTTAAAACATTGTATTCCAAGATTAGGTATTACAGCAGAAGTTTTTGTTTTTATTTTTGCAATAGGCTGAGTTACTTTTTATTAAATCAGTTTTTTTAAAAAATTTATTTATTTATGCATACACAACTGAAGTGCAGCCAGAGGTGCATGGGCGATGAGAGGATTCACCAGAGTCAAGAGTAGGGAGCAGAACAGGCAGATTGACGAAGTACACTGCTGAGGGGAGCAGCAGGAGAGACAGAGGTCTGCTGCACCATTTCGGTCACCTCTGGGGCGGGGATCTAACTGGCACCAAAACTGTTGCTCCGCAGTGCCCTGCCAGCTTTGCAGTGCTGCGCTCTTACTCCTTGTGCCACTAGGAAAGGCCTTAAAAAGACAGTTTAACTTTGAAAACTTACTTTCCACATTATTTTAATTTAGCAATTAAATTATCTGTAAAACTACGAAAGTTAGCTTTTGTTTCCTGCTGACAGTTCTGAATTCTTACAGCTATATATAATTTTTTATACTAAGTAAAATTAATCTTTATTAACATGTCTGTTTTTTCTTTTTTGTCACAATGACCAATTATTGTTGTTGGCAGCAATAAAGTGCTAATAAATGTTAATAAAGTGCTAATTAATGTTCCTCCTGTGACTGTTTGGCCACAACAATAGTGGGAGGTTCTGAATGAAAGGGGTAGGGAAGGAAAGAGAGGAAGATGTGTGGAAAACTCATCAAAGAATTGGGAAGGAAGGAGGGAAAAAGACAATTGATGGAGAAACAGAGTAAAGGAATCTTAGCTTAGTCCTGGAAGCTTGATGGCAGAGAAGTCCAAAATCAGAGGAAGAGGGAGTTAAAAAGGAAAGGAAAACTGTATTCGGTTGTGACAGAAAGTAGAGGTTATGATGAGAGTGAGGGAAGGAGTCAAAGTTTGGAAAGAGAGGCAGGAAAATGGAAGGAGGAGGTTGAAGAAAAAAGATAAACAGTTTAGGATGTTGTTCACCTTTGTAGGACACTAATAACCCAGACTAAAAAAAATGAGTTGAGCTTTCATTTAATGTATGGATTTACTTGTGTTTTATAGTGGAATTGTTTCTCCTAATGTACTGTCCTAATTGAATCTATTTCTATTTTCTTCTATCCTAATAATATAACTGTGATATGACAGTTTTATTATCAATCCACAAATATTTAAGTAACGTTTTATTAGCATTTTATACTGTTCCTATACATTTAACTTAATCCTTTAAGCTAGACTTAATAGCTTTATATCTATATAAATACACACTGCATATATGTATATATTGTGTTGTGTGTGTGTGTGTATATATATATCAATACACACATAAACTTATGAAAATGTCTAAAGAACATAAACCAAATTTTAAATTTTGTCCATAACAACTTAAAGTAGAAAAGCAAAGCATAAATTTTAAAGATTATAGGTTGCACATATTTCATCTGCCAGAGAATCTTTTTAAAGAATTTGCAGGACTTTTTTTATTTTTTGTTTTAGTTCTAGCAAATTTAGTTTTGCTTAGTTTTTTTTTTGAAGATTTATTTATTTATGCATGCAGAGCTGGGCACAGGCCAGAGGTGCAGGGGCGGTGAGAGGATTCACCAAAGACAGAGTGGAGAGCAGAACAGGCCGACTGACAAAGTACACTCCTGAGGGGAGCAGCGGATGGGTCAGGAGAGGTCTGCGACGCCATGTAGGGTGGGGATCGAACTCATGCTGAAGTGGCTTTAGCTTCTTAGTGCTGTGCTTCAACCTGCTGAGCCACCAGGGAGGGCCCTGCTTAGTTTTTTTTAGGTTTAGTTTTATCAATTTCCCTAAGATATTGAGACTGTTAACTAGAATGGGCACCTAACATAACTCTCAGATTCCCCCATGTAGATCAATGTGTAGTCCATGGCCTTTTCAATAAATCTGAAAACTTCTCATATGGTTTTTGACTTTGAAACATGGTTCCCCCCCCCCTAATTTTTTATTTATTTATACATGCAAGAACTGTAGTGTAAGCCAGAGGTTAAGAGGGATAGGGATAGGGATACTGAGAGGATTTACCAGAGACAGAGTGGGGAGCAGAACAGGCAGATCTACTGAAATACACTGCTGAGGGAGCAGTGAGTGAGACAGGAGAGGTCTGCTTCGCCATGCGGTTTAGCTCCCTGCCAGGGATTGAACTCAGGCCACAGTGACTAACAACTTGATAGAGCTGAGATTTTAATCCCTGTGCCAGCAAGGAGCCCTCCTCCCAGCCCCCCACACACCTTTCTTTTAAATGAGACAAATTTTCTTAGATTGGCCTGGTGATTGAGTGTTCTTTTATTTCTTTTTAACCAGAATTACTAGGTTGTCAACGAGCCAGACAGGCTACTGTATTGAAGACCCTTCTCTGTCAGCACTCAGAGACAAAATCCTACTACTTGAGGAGCCAAACTGTATTCTGAAGCCCCAAGTGACTCAAGTCTGAGATCATTAGCCCCCAAACCACCCTGCAGTGCCCATGTGCATCTGTTGTCTGGACCAATGTGTCTCCAGCCCTTTCTCTCTTGTACATGCTTGTTAGAGGGCATGGAATACATATTTTCCTATATTTTTCTCCTCTTCCCTGTTCTTTGTAAAATTCTTTAGGAAAAGTAGTAGAGGTACATAGTGAATTCAAGCCCCATAAAAGGCAGTTTATTGTTAACAACTTATTTTTCTTTGTGAAGACATTAGTTGTTTTTTAAAAGCGCAAATATTTTATTAATCATTGTATATCTTTATTTTTCTCATTTGATATATTTAGAGCTGGGAACAGACACTGCCTGCATGTTTAAGCATGCTCTGTGGTCAATTGTTATCAAATTATGTATGTTAGCTCCTAGGGGATGCCATAATACCTAGATGCCATAATATCAAGATAGAAAAGGTAATTTCATTTTGGTAATTGTCACACAGTTTTTTTAGCTTTCTCTCCCATAGCCCTACAGTTTATTTATTTATTTATTTATTTTTAAAGATTTATTTATTTGTGCATATAGAACTGGGGTACAGGCCAGAGGCTCAGGGGCGGTGAGAGGCTTCACCAGAGACAGAGTGGGGAGCAGAACAGGCAGATTGATGAAGTACACTGCTGAGGGGAGCAGTGGGTGGGCCAGGAGAGGTCTGCCGCACCATGTGGTCACCTCCAGGGCAGGCGGGAATCGAACTCATGCAGAAGTGGCTCCAGATTCTCAGTGTTGTGCTTTAACCCGCTGCGCCACCAGGGAGGGCCAGCCCTACACTTTAACAAATGTCACAGACTTTCTAATGCCAGTGTATTTTCTGTAATCTACACTCTCTTAAGTCTCTCCTGCTATGGCTGTGAGAGCCAGGGGGCTGTCCTATGATAGGGAGTCCCAACACACGCCCCATGCTATCCCAGCCTCTGGTCTGGGATTGTTTCTGTGCAGAGCTATCCCTGAGCTATCCGGCAAGCCTCTGAGGGTCAGTTCTGTCTAGTCGTCATCCTGTAGGTTTCAGTGCCTGCCCACTCACTCCCCACAAACTTGGAATCCCTCAGTCTTGGTCTAGTCTGAGGCCATGGCAGTCAAGGCATTTTGTGGGTCCTTCTTAGTGAGCCCATTTATTCAGAAGCTGTATATTGGAGGAGGAATGTTAGCTGCTGTGCATTTGCAATTATTGGCTAGTGGCAAACGCCTTCTAAAAATGAGAAAGAGGGTATGGGAGACACTTCTAAGGCATCCAGTTAGCAGATACATTCTGTGAAGGACTTATCTTTATAATCTTAGCTTTGAAAAGGTTTTTTAATTTAAGAAAGTTAGCAAAAGATCAACACTTAAGACAGAGACAAAAATTTGTGTTTACAAAGTGTAAATTTTTAAATGACCCCAGTTTTCCATAGCTTTTTAGGATAGAGTCTGAACATTAAAGTAGATTTTGAAGTAACTTTATAGAACTAGTTAACCTTGTACAGTTAAATGTAATATACAAAAATAGCAGGGAAAATATTCAGTGCTACTCTCTCAAGGCTATTGGAAAGGGAATTTGCAATTCCTAATTATTTCTGTGGTAAGCAGTGATCTTAGTTCCACAGACTCTTGATAACATAGACGGAGCTGTTGAAGTCCTGTGGTGTGGGTCATTGTGGCCAGGGAAGGGTTTAGTCCAGTCAGCAGCTTCTGTTTTTTCTGTGAGACATCTGTCATTGCCTTGTGTGCAGTTTTCATATTGCCGGCTTTCCCCTCCACCAACATTTCCAAATCTCCCATCTGTCATTTTCATTTTTTCCCCTAGTACATTGACCCCTTCTCTATTCAGTTTTCTTTAATCCTACTTTCATCCTACTACATTTGTTACTGTATTTGTATTCACTTATGCCGGTACACACTCATTCTGTGTCGCAGTAACATGTAGTCTCCTTGGTATGGTATTTATTAACTGAGCAAGAGTTCACATATCAATAGAAACTGCATTCTGATCCTCAGTACTTCGATTTGGTTTGCTTTTATAATGAAGCCATAAAGATTTCCTCTTTGTCTGGCTTATAGAGAATATTAACAAACAGCAAAGAAGAGATACTGGCTTGTACTTAGCACCCAAGCTAATGTTGTTCATATTGTCTTATTAGAACACCTGGAGAGTGCAAGTTCTAACTCAGGTATACCAGCTGCACAGAGAGGTGAGTTTGCCTAATTAAGCAAATAGTCGCCCAAGGTGTGAAATTCTAGTGTGGTAGTGCCTGAGCATACCGACATCGGAGAAATGCACTGGACAAAATGGAATAGATCCCAAGCATGGCTTTAAAAGTGGTTAAAATGCATTTTAAAATATTAAAAATGAATATTTAAATTTGTTAACATTTTAATAGTTTTCCGGTTTCTGAAAATAAAACTTCAACTCTTACAGTATCTTTGTAGCTTAGTGGAAGTGAATATTGTTATTTTTAAAAGGAGAACTTGTTAGGCTCAAAATGTGCCTCCTATCCCATGTTATCACATTTTGTTGTCAAAATCAGGCACAGTGTTGACAAAAATATTCTTTGACTTTCCAGTAGAAAGTTTTTCAGTAAAAGATAAGTCTTCTCATGATTTTCTTTATGCTTTCTTCAATATTTGATTCTCATTATTTTTATTTTTGATTTTAAGGTAAATTTAGGAAGGGGAATTATTCACAAAGTTTGGATTGTAAAGTTCTAAAATATAAAAAACTAAAACAGTGTAAAGTCAGAAGAATGGGACATAAAAGGAGTTAAAACACATCTTATGGTCCTTTCACTGACAGTTTCGCTTCCCCTCCACTTTTCTCATACTCTCCAAGACCAAGCAATTGTGTCTTCACCAAAAAATGCTCAGCCAGTTAACCGAGAACTTGGTTTTGGACAAATCAGTGTCTAAAGCTTGACTCTATTATCTTTCTTACCTGACTTGAAAAGGACCATTCTTTTTCTAAGTTACAGTAAAATGACATCATCGGAGGAGTATTATGACGAGTAAGAGACGTCATCCATATTTTTCTTTGTTTTTTCTTTTGTTTTCTGTCTGTGTTTTCAGCAACGTCAGTTGATTACAGTTCCTTTGCAGACAGATGCAGCAGCTGGATAGAGCTCATTAAACTGAAAGCTCAGACCATAAGACGCGGATCAATTAAGACAAGTAGGCGGATGTTTCTACCACATTATGATCTGAGAAGCGTATCCCTGATTTCCCAGTGGTGAAGGCTAGACCTTACTACCCAATAATAACATTGCCAATCAATCATGCACTGGAGTGTGAAAGCTGCAGACTCTGACGGTCATTTAGTAAAAGTTACTAGGGCCCTTTAGATTTGTTCATTTAATTATTCAGTTGTGTTCTCAAATTTTTATTTTTGTGAAGGTGGTATTAAAAATATATCAATAGATAATTATGTACTCGTTCTAATGGACGCAATTATCAGCTCTCTTATTGAAGAGACATTCTTCTAGGACCCAGTGTACAGTGTGGCAAGTATGAATTTACTAAATGATTTCCAGAGGGCTAAAAGAATAAGACCTATCTGGAGAAAGTTAACTCTTAATCTCACTGCTAAATTCAGGATCAGCACTTAAATGATTTTTACCTATATTGCATGTGTTTTGGTTAAGACTGAGGTAAATGTATTTTAGTGAAAGTTTCTAACACATTAAAAGTGAATAATCTATATTTTAGAACCATTACAAAATATTATTATTACAAAATAATATTATTTTCAGAAACCAAATCTGGTTTTGAATACTAGGTGTACCAGTTAATAGCTGTGTGACCTTGGACAAGTTGTTTAACTTCTCTGAGCTTCAGTTTCCTCATGTGTAAAATGGGAATAATAATTCCTATGTTGCTGGGTTGTTGTAAGGATTAGATATATATACTGACTTACAGTGATTGTTTGATAAGTGGTAGCTGTTGTCATTTTATAAACAACTTTTAGACAACCGAGGTCATTTGTTATGTTTTAAAAATTAAAAGTTCATTTAATTGAAAAAGTTTGCAAAAGCAGTCTGTTACAACTTAAGGTTGTAAATGTAAGGTTTATCTACAAGTTGACAATGATGAAGTCGTCTGAAAAAGATGGAAAACGGCACTGGGAATACAACTTTCACACTCTTTTTGGAATAATTTGTTCCTACAGCAGATAATTTTTAATGCTCTGCCGCTTTTTCTTTTCCTTCACTTTATAACGATCATTGTGTGTGTCGCTACACCGCATCAACATTTTCTTTTGCAGGAATGCCATTTTTCTTCCAAAACAATTTCACTTCAGCATTTCCTCTTGTATTTTTCTTTCTCTCTTTTTAATTGCATGCAGTGCATGATCATTTCTTTTCTTTCATGACATGGCTTAGCCTCACAGAAAGCTGAATGTCACCACTTATATGGACACCTTAGGGAGTAATCATGCTGCCAGCATCTGACCTTGGTGCTTTCTCTTCTTTCTCCAATTTTAGCTGTGACAGTTGAAAAACCAAGTCCAATGGGTGAAGGAAATTTCCGGAGTCGTTCTGCTCCACCTTGTGCAAATTCTACAGTTGGGGTTGTTAAGATGACACCTCTTTCTTTCATTCCTGGAGCAAAAATAACTAAATATCTTGGAATAATCAACATGTTTTTTATTCGGGAAACTACTTCTCTGCGTGAGGTAACTTTGTAGATGTTATTTCATTGTTAACTGTGAATTTTTCTCCAATTGATGATATTAGTAAAAAAGCCAAATGTTTCAAATTATTTTTACCAGAAGTACCACACATCATTTTCACTGCAGTAACCAACCTGGATTGATTCTGGGTTACATGTAACAAATTTCAAATGACAGCCAGTATTATCATGAAACTTGTGAAATTTAAATCCACTTAGAGAAATCCTAGATCCTTATATGATAAATACAATTCTCTATATTTGAATTGCGGTTTCAAAAACAGTCCTGAAAGAACTGTTTTCTCAGTCATAGTTTGCCTGCAATATGTTTAAATAGTAATTCTTTTAAAAAATATATAATTATATATTTTACAATCATTGTTCATTTTTGTGCAGTGCTTGCTTTCTCCTCTCAGGTGCAGTCCCTATAAAATTCCTATGACCAAGTCACCTGTGAACCATCACCACAGTCCCTGTGCCCTTCCCGCCCCTGTTTTGTTCCTCTTCCTCTCCCTCCCTGCAGATGTCTGATTTATAGATGGCTGTTACTTTTGGTACTTCACTTATTGTTAGTATTTTTTAAATAGCAACTCTTAAAGGACTACAGTGAGAAACAGTAGGGGAATATGTAAAAGATAAATGTCCATGATATAATTTATATAATTTAATGCAATCATTTCCTCTCTCCAAAACAAGAAGGAGTCTGCCCATCTTATTCCATTCTCTCCATCAGGATACAAGAATGTCATGTATTCAGATTCTTACCTTACGCTATGAATCATTAAACTTTCAATATGTCTATAAAATAACATATCTTACTTGATGTGGTCAAAGTTAGTCAGAGTTAGCCTGTGACATCTTTCATTACACAGGAATTTAAACTGAAGAAAAATTCTGTTTCTATTATATACATTGTGGGACAGGGCTGCTAAGCAAATTGATACTGTGAATAGTGAACTTTTAAAGTTTTTAGTTCTTCAAATTTTACTTTAGCAGCAGTTTTTATTAAAAAACAAAAAAACACATTCACTACCATGGTAACTTACCAGTGTTTTTCCCTATGGTTCACCAGCAGTGTTTCTATGTTTTCTTAGAAATAACAACTCACATACTATTTTTTAACATTATGCTCACAGGTTGTATCCAGTAGAGTACCTAGCACAAGATGCTTTTGTGTCAGTGAGTGGATGACTTCTGACAGATTAGTCAGAAAGAAGATAGTCCTTTTAATAGAAATTAGTTTTTAAATCCTATCTTAATTATGTTGATATGGAAAAGAAGCTATGTTAAGTTATTCTAAAAAACCTTTTAATATAGAAGTAAACTAGATACTTATTAGTCCATTAAGTTTAACAAAGCAAGTTGGGTAGAAATTTGGGAAAGATGAGTGGAATACTTACTATGGTGGCTGTGAACTAGGTGTTAGCATGTGGTCATGAGCCAAGCAGGTGCAGTCCCTGGTCTCATGATATTTACATCTAGCATGGTGGACATGGGACAAACAAGTCAATGACTGATGTCTAGCTACAGAAGAAAGTAATATGAAAGGCTAGCCGAGTATAGTGGAGGAACTGAATTTGTATTTGTCAGTTAGGGGTAGTATGATAGGAAGGTCCCTGCAAACTGAGGCTGAAGGATGGAGTTGGAAGAGGAAGAATTGATTAGTGGCTTTACTTCTTTTCTAAATGTTCTTAATAGCACATGGATATTGAACTATTTAGAATCCATAAATTTAATTCCTAAGTGGCTTCTCTGCTGCTTAAGCAACCAGACTCCAAAGTGGTTTTGCAGTAATTTCTCTTCCACAGAGATCTGTAATATTAAGTGTGTGGCATAACACTGCTTATTTATTCAATTATCTTATGAGTTATTTGCTTATAGTTATTTAATCTTTTTCAAATTAGCAGTCTGTATACAGTCTCTGTTACTCTGCCATCAGAATATCTTGATTTAAAAGGCAGTAAGAACACTGATAATATAAGGGGAAAAAAATGTGCTGAGCTGTGATTGAGTTGGAGGCAGGCTAAAACAACTCACTTTGTCCCTTCATTCTTAAGAGATGCCTTTACGAAACTAGGATCTTCCAAATTTTCAGAAAGATAGGATCTGATCAAATGGTTTTCGAGCTGTTTTGCCTTTGACTTCCAGTTTAACACTGGGAATTTCTTTCTTGGCTGTGAAGAACTTCCAGTAGTTTTGGAAAACAAGTTCAAAAGTATTTTAAGCTACTAGCTAGCCTTTGGTTATGTTTTATGTTTTGGACAAGGAAAAAGTACTCCAAATCATGGGATTTCATCCCCTAACAAATATGAATGCAATACCTACTATGGTGCCTGTGAACTGGGTGCTAGAATGTGGTCGTGAGCCAAGTAGGTGCAGTTCCTGACCTGATGTTTACCTCTAGCATGGCGGACAAAGACAAGTCCATGACTGATGGCTAACTACAGCAACATAAAGTATATGCCAGGCTATCTGAGAATGAGTGGAAGAACTGGACGGTATGGTCCCTGTAAACAGTGCCTGAAGGATGGAATGGAAATTATCCTGGTGGAAAACTGGTTGAGGAGCCTCCAGGAATGGCATGTGCAGAGGCCCCACACAGGAAACAAGCTAGACAGGCATTTAAAATGGGAAGTAAGATGAGGAAGGTTTTGTTATTTTTGTTACCAGTTTATTTGAATGATAGTGGGAATAATTTGATAGAGGAAGATATTAAAGATGAAGGAACACTTGAGGTCTTGCTCTGCAATTTTTTACTGCCTGTGTGATTATAGCATGTCAGGGGCCACATTACAAGTCTCTGAGCTTTTTCATCATCTGTAAAGGAAGGGTACTTGTTTTAGACACATGTCCAGTAAATTTGTTCATTCTTACAAATAAGTTCCCATTATGAAGGAAATTAAAATGTTTATTCATTATATTAAGGCCATTTAAGATGTTTTAACATTATTTAACATTTCCTGTATATTCATGTGTATATACAAATTTTGATTTTCTTGTGCATCATTTTTCAGGAAGGAGGAGTCAGTGGTTTTCTCCATGCTTTTATTGCTGAGGTGTTTGCAATGGTGAGAGCTCATGTGGCTGCCTTGGGAGGAAATGCAGTTGTCTCTTACATAATGAAACAGTGTGTCTTCATGGAGAATCCAAATAAAAACCAGGTGAGACAGTTAAAAATTTCTGATGGGAGGACCAGTGAATTTCACCAGTGGCCTTCTTACTTCTCTTTCTTTAAGAGACAATTGCTTCTAGAGCTCTTTGGTTCTAGATATTAAAATGTTTCTTTTCAATGAGTACATTAATGACCATGACAGAGAGGTCAAAGGTTGTTTTCATATCCCAAGGGAGTAGTTACTACTCTTAGAGTTCTAAAAGTTTTGCTCTAATTTACTGTTCTTTCCATTTCTGGGCTTTTGAGATATGATTATAGCTCCCTGAGAAAAGTTAAAGATGCCTTCTAGCATTTCTGTTCCATTAGTTTATGTTCTGTTTTTATTCCAATAACACAATTTTTGATTGCTGTGACTTTGTAGTATAGTTTGAAGACTGAGAGTGTATTACCATCATTCTTCCTCTTCTTTGTCAGGATTACTTTGCTATTCAGAGTCTTTGGTGGTTTATAGAAAATTAAGTGATGTTTGCTCTATTTCCTTGCTCCATTGAAAGTTTGGTAGGAATTGCATTGAAGGTTTCGTTGCTCTTCATGATGTCAGTACCAATCTGCTGTGTGCATGCCAGGTGCTCCACACACCATTTCCCTTAGGGTGTTTGTCTCTACACAGCTCACCTATCCCTTCCCCAAGCCCACTGCCAAGTGATAGCACTGCATTTTGTGTGGTAGTCGCCTCCCCACCCCAGGTCACAGCCTCCAGGAATTTCTCTCCACCCACCTTCTGTTTAGTGAAGCATGAACCTCTTTAGTGTTCTTCTGATGCAATCTGTGCTGATCTCTAGTGTCCAAGAGGTGTTCCACTTTCTCCCCAAGTCACAGGATCCTGTGCATGCAGCATTCTGGATTTTTCTCCTCAGAGCTAAGCAAGAAACCCTCCAATGCTGTCTTCATCCTTAGGCTACATTTCAGAATATCCTATTAGTTTTGGGAAGACACTTAAAATTATCAAAGACTCCTTTAAAAATTAAATATATATGTATATAATAGAGCTTTTTGAGTTTCTGTCCCTGTGACTTTCCTTCTTATTCCACTTTACTCATTTTTTTTCTTTTGGGTTGTCTGTCTTTTCTCCAGTGATTGATTAACCTATGCTTTTTCAGCTGATAACATTGTCCCTCAGAAGAAGCATATGAGTGAGTATATGTAGTTGAGTTTGTGACTGACCATGTCCTGTTATGCTTCCAGGCACAGTGTCTTATCAATGTAAGTGGTGATGCAGTGATATTTGTTCGTGAATCTGAATTAGAGGTGGTCTCAACTCAGCAACCTCCTGTCAACTGCCAGCTGTCATGTACTGGAGGAGAAGTTACAACCTGAAGTAAATGAGAAAGAGGGCAACTCAGTGACATTCACCTGTCTCCATTGTTTTGTCATTAATTATCTTACTAGACTTTTTACATATTGAGATAATTAAGAAAAGTTGCTATATGGAGTAGATTGATTTATCTGGAATCTCATGGAGGCACGGGTTTTCTAATTTTGCCAAATCTAAACAGACATGTCCTGTAGAATCTTGACTCTTCAATGACTTGATATAAATTTCTCAGAAACTATAGCAAAGATGGAAGCTGTTAGTAACTTGTGTCAATTTTTAATGAAATCATAATTTTACAAATAAAATGGGAAGATTATCAGGAACCTAGGAAAGCTACCCTAGTGTGATTTAGGAAAACTAAGCAAGAAATTCACAAATTTTAATGAATATATAGTCTGATTTAAAGAATGTTTTGGGAGACTGTAGAAAAGTTTTCAGAAAGTTATTATGTGGGTTTATTTACTGTGTTTTATTTTGACGAGGAATTTGGTAACAACTGAAAAGGAAAGTGCTTTAACCATCTTTTAAAAAGGAGTTAAAATTTTGCTACTTGTACCCATATATTCTAACTACTAAAGAAAAAGTAATCTATCAGAGCTAGTGTAGTTTTAATAATATCTGTTAGGAGGAAGAAAAAAAATTACCACATAACTTTCTAGCTGACCAAATTTAGCTAGAGTCCAGTTTGCCTAGAAGAGGCTTGGCTTTAATTGAGAAGAAAATGTCAGTGAATTTTTTGAAGTAGTTCTCTCGTAGGAACATAAAATTATTTTCTGATAAAATTATTCTGTTCTCCTACCAAATAAATAGAATTTTAGTAATATAGTAGGGATTTTTGATGGTGAATTAGACTGTATTTGGCATAGAATTTGAAATGTAACTTGAATGTAAATATGCTGCAAAATATTGAATGTATACATAGAAATATTTCTCTGTTCATGCCAAATACCTATGATAAATGAACCTTAAAAAAGTACATTCCTCCTTTGCACAGTAGAATTTCTTTATATAACTCATGATTTTGTTCTTCCAAATAATAAGCTGTCCTACAGATTTGGAATCATTTCCTTGTTATCACAGGTGTCAATATTTTTCTGTATTTTGTTTATAATTTTATTTTTTAAATAAAAAAAGTTCATAAAGTGGAATGTTCCTAAATCTCCTTTTTACTCTTGATACAGTTCTGACAGTTGTCTGAAATCATTTTTCATGAGATTATCTTCATTCTTCCTTCAGTCAACAAAACTTATTGTGCATCTGCTATATGCAAGACCCCTGTTCTTAATTTGGGGGAAAATATCCATTTGTAGGTGATTGTGACACTTTCATCATCTTTGGTAGGGAGGTATTCAACATTGTATATTGAATGCCCTGGATTCCAGGGCAGTTTTAGGCAGTGAACAAAATACAGCTTCTTAGCCTTGTGGAACTTATCAGTGGCTACACAAGTTAAAAAGTCATCAGATGTGGCAGGCAGTATCATAAACCTTGCTAATAGTTACTGAATTGTTTACATCTAATACATGCATTTTTGTTTCAACCCTCCTAATTTTCACAGAAACACAGTTTAGTCCCCTTTTCTGGGTAAGAAAACTGAGGAAGGCCCTTCCTGGTGGTGCAGCTGGTTAAAGCATAACACTGAAAATCTAAAGCCACTTCCACATGAATTCGATTTCCGCCTGCCCCGGAGGTGACCACATGACGTGGCAGACTCTCCTGGCCCGTCTGCTGCTCCCTTCAGCAGTGTACTTCGTCGATCTGCCTGTTCTGTTCCCCGCTCTGTCTCTGGTGAAGCCTCTCACCGCCCTGAGCCTCTGGCCTGTACCCCAGTTCTGTATGCACAAAAAAAAAAAAAAAAAAAGCCTGAGGAGAGAGTTTTTATGATTCACCCAAACATAAGTATTCAAACCAGGATTAAAGCAAGGCTTTGAATCCTGCACTATTAATTGAGAATATACGTACAACTTGTGATGAAGACAGCTTCTCAAAGAAGATATTTAAACTCACTCTGGAAAAACAGACATTTCGCTAGAATTGACTGTTCATAGTTTACGTATCAGTCCATCCGTTCATCAGTGTGTTTCAGAGTCCTTTCATCAGGAAAGTAAAAACATTTTTAAAATTAGATTTAAACATTTATTTGATAGGCAGAGAACAGCCCCTCAAAAAGGTCTAGGCTAATGTTGATACTGTGAATCTATTACCTTATATGACTTTGTAAATATGATCAAGGTTGTTGCTAAAAATGTTGACCTTAAGACAATGAATTTTGCCCATGTTATCTACCAAGGTCCTAGATTCTAGTTACAATTTTAAAACTGGAAGAAGGGAGTAGAAGAGCAGGTTAGACATGCTGTGTTGCTGCCTATCAAGCTGCTTGGGAAGAATGTGGGTGATTTCTAGACACTGAAATCACTAAGTGGACCTCAGCTGACAGCAAGGAAATGGGGAGTTTCTCAGTCAAAGAGTCACAAGGAACTGAATTTTGCCAGCTGAAGTAAGGAGATGGACTCTCTCTGAGATAATGGAGTCCTGCCACCAGCTTCCATCTAGCTTTGTGAAATCCTTTATCAGACTTCCCACATACTGAACTGTTAAGGTGATGGACATGCTGTCCAAGCCACTAAATTTCTGGTCATTTGTTGTTGCAGTGGAAAGTGAATACAAATTCTGATGAGTTAAACTATAGAGACATACAAAGTCACCACATCGTTATGCTGTTTTTGGTAACATGAAATGCTGCACCCTACTTGGGGTATGAATACAAGTTTTTCTTATATTTTTCATGTTTTTGGTTTTTTTTGCATACCCCTTGATTTTTTTATTGGCGATGCAGGGGTGGAGTGGGAGTTGGAAGGAAGGATGAAAGGGCTAGGCGCTGTGAATAACAAGATCAAAGGTTCTCGGACCAGTTGGGATCTCCCAAGCAGTAAAGTCGCAGAAATCTTGGCTATTTAGTAGAAATCCAGCTTCCCACCTTTGAGGTCACCTCCGCTTCTAGAATTGCCCAAGAACAACAAGAGCTCCATGCCCTGGAGATACACCTAAGGAGTGAGTTCAGCTTCCTCAGCAAGCTGTTAGAATATAAGAACCTCTTCGGTATGCTGTTGCATTTGCTTCTCACTGCCACATGATGTCGCTGTTGGAATGGGTTACACAAGGTTGAACACTGCTAACCTGTCTCCCTCGGTGTAATGCCAAGACTTCAGAGGTTTCTAGGATTTGGCAAACTTTCAGTCCCAAGTACTATTATATTCAGGGAGAGCTGCTTCTATATATTAGATAAATAACATTTTAAAAAAATATATAAGATGTTATTTTGCAAATTTTCCCTCTAAATCCGTGGCCTGAGGAAGAGAAGTTTTTAAATTTTGAGGTGATCTAACTCATTTTTTTCTTTTGAGATTAGTGTTTTTGTATTCCTAGAAAGGTTTGCCTAACCCAACATAAAAAATATCTAGAAATTTTACAGATTTTGGCTGCAGATTTCGATATATGACCATGTCATATTTTGTATATGGTGCGACCCACCTAAAGACAAAAGTTTTGTTGTTTCATTTTGGTTTTGCATATGGAGCTCAATTTGTTGAAAAGACTAATTTTACATTGGATTGACTTGTTGGGATCACATGTGTAGTTGCCACACATGTATGTTCTACTTTTGTCCTCACCCATGTGTTGGCCTAGCTGTAAGGTTTCCAATATTGCAGTACTATTTATAGTAGCTAAGGTATGAAAACAACTTAAATGTTCCAAAACATGACTGAATCAAGAAGATATGGTGAATATGCACAATGAAATACTATTCAGCAACCAAAAAAGATAAACTCAGGGCTCCCTGGTGGCATAAGGTTTATTTTAACTCACCACAGTGGCCTGAGTTCCATCCAGGGAGAGAGCTGATCCACATGGCTCAGCAGACCTCTTGTCTCACCTGCTGCTCCTCTCAGCATTGTAATATCTTAGTAAACCCACCTGTTCTGCTCCCTGCTTTGTCTCTGGTGACTCTCTCAACCCTCACACTTCTGGCCTATACCCTATTTGTTGTATGCATAAATATATATATATTTTAAAGATAAACTCATGCCATTCATAGCAACATGGATGGAACTGGGAGGGATTATGCTCCGTGAAATAAGTCAGAAGGAAAGTGAAAAATATCAGATGGTTTCACTTATAGGAAGAACATAGGGAAAACAAGTAAGGGGTGGGGTGGGGAGAGACAAAAGTAGCTGGAAAACTAAATTGGAGAGATTCATCAGGGGAGGAGGAGGGAAAGGGATCATAACATGGGGGAGAGAGCACAAGAGAAAATAGTGACAGTTCTAGGGTGTCTTGGTGTCTATGGGGAATACACCTGAGACAAGAATGAGCTATGATGTGAGAATATATCAACAAATAAATAAAAAAATACATAAGATTTCCAATATCATACCATCTTGATAACATACTTTATAAGCTATGAAGTATACTTTATACTTTGATCACATTCTTCAAAACAATTTTTTTTGGGTCCTCCCCAGTGGTGCAATGGGTTAAGATGCAATACTGCAGGCTAGCCACAGCCACTTCAGTGCCAGTTCATTCCCATGCCCCGGAAGTTATCCACATGGCCCAGTAGACCTCTCCTGACCTGCCCACTGCTCCCCTTGGCAGTGTACCTCTTCAATCTGCCTGTTCTGTTCCCCACTCCGTCTCTTGTGAAGTCTCTCACCACCCCTGCTCCTCTGGCTTGTACCCCAGTTCTGTATGTATAAATAAATAGATCTTAAAAAATTTTTTTTTCACAATTCTAGTTCTGTTTTCCAAAAAAAAGAAGGAAATATTGCCATTTGTCATAACATCGACCTTGAGAGCAAATAACTACAATCTGACTTAGATGTGGAATTTCAAAACAAATAAACTGAACTCCAAGAGACTGCTGGTATTAGTGGTTGTCAAAGGTGGTGATGGGCAATGTTGGGGAAGGTGATCCGAAAAGACACACTTCTAGTTACAGAATAATTAAATGCTGGAGATGTTATCCACTCCATGGCAACTATATTTAATAATACTAACATATCTGAAAGTTGCTGTGAGATCCTAAATGTTCTCAAAGTATGTATGGTAGGAAGATGTTAACCAGGCTTCTTATGGTTATCATTGTTCAGTATATACATGTATCAAATTATTATGTTGTGCACTGAAAACAAATCAATTGTTGTAGGCTAATACTATAACAATCAAAAAGAAAAGCAAAAATACCACATTTACATGTTGAACCACATGGGCATAATGTATTACCTTTCTTTAGGTTAATCATGCCTGGTATACTTTCCCCCTAAACCTCACATGTTTAGATTTTCTGTGGATTTTTTATCTGATTGTGTCCACTTTCCCTTTGCTCCTTTTCTCTATTTTCCATTGAATCCAAGCCATCCATCTTAATAGTGTTCCCTTGACCAATTTGAGAATTAAGATTTCAAAAATCTACTATGTAGTCACCTGCTTCCCCCCCACATGTGTCCTGAAGCAGCTGAGAAATAGACAAGAGGTGAAGAGGGTTGGAGCTCAGGGGTCACCTTTATTGCTAAAAAAAAGTAGTCACTAGCAGAATGAAGCATCCATGGGGGGTGGGGGGGTGGAGCAATCTCTAGTTTTGCTTGCTTGGTTTGGTGTGTGTGAATGTGTGTGAATTTGCGTGAGTGTGTGTGTGTGAGTGAGAGGGAAACTACTAGAAGGGGTTAAAGAAGCAAGAGCTTACTTACTTCTCCCTAGCCATCATTCAGAGAAGTCATTTTGTTTTCACTCAATAAGTGTAAGAAAGGGGGGTATGAGTGTTCAGCACCATCATTGAAATAAAAATCACCCCTTGATACCATATGTACTTCCTGAAAATGGCAGATTTCACATCTATTCTTCAGAGACTCCCCCACATTTAATGCATTCTCTTCCTACCACTGCCATGGAATTGTCTCAAAGCTGGTAGTGTCACAATTAGTTCTTTTCCATTCTGCAACCCAAAAGTCTAAAAGCAGCATCACTGAGATGGAGACAGTAGAGCTGAGTTCCTTCCAGGTGCTCTGGGAGACTGTCTCTTTTCCTACTTTCTCAAACTGCATTCCTGAGTTGTTTCCTCCTTGGTTCTTGACTGTGGC